ACGGCAATGACGTAAACAAGAATGAAAATCAAGGCAGTACATCCAACCGCTCAAGTTCATACTGCAGAGACGATAGATATACGAGCAGTTAACTTTTGAGCTGATGGTTGTGCCCCAGAAAGATACCGCAGACCCACCCCATGGAATCTCAGAGAAGGTAAAGTTTTCATGAATATGAGGAGCTGAAAATTTGTAACATTTTTCTATTAACTGCAGTTTGCCTTTGCATAGAGCTTTCCTGCGTTCCGCACCGCCTCATCGAATATGCGCTGCTGAAGGCAATGGGTTTGGGTTAGAGCCCGGTGCCAAAACTAGAGGGTATTTATTGTTGGGTTCAAGATAAATTAAAAACCGAATTGCCTAACCGAATTTGTTTCTAGTTATTTGCCTTTTTTTTTTTTTTTTTTTTTCTTATTCTTTTTCTTTTTTATTGTTTTCTCCAGCGGACTGGATTTAGGTATACCGCATGCTGAAATCGAGAGACACATGCGCACTTTTGCTGTGAATACAACAAACATGTCATCAAATAACAGAAGAGGCGGGAAGAGATGTCATATTAACTGTTTTCCAGGAAACAGGCGCCAAAGTTCCATCCATAACATCGAAAGAAGCCACGGGGTATTTTTTGCATATATAGATATGTAGAGCTAATTTTGACATGTCCATTTTACAGTCCACTTCATATCCTATCATCCATATTTATTCCCCCCCCTCCTTCTGTTCCACCAAGTTCACACACAGCGGTAATAGAGTACAATCCACGTGGTACGGAAGTTCCCTCTCTACATTCCAACGGGAGACAACATAGTTCCATCGGTTGGTAGATGGGGGGACGAAACAAAAATGAGCGAAAACTGTAAAGGCCTGGGCTGTATCATTGTAGTAGCGGAACTCGTGAAATAGAGACCAGGGGTTGTTGCAGAATTCGGTTAATGTGTCTCCACAGATAGCTCCTCCTCAAGGACTCCAATGCGGATGGATAGGGCTGAAGATAAACTGATGGATTTCTCAAGACGGCTCTTTACTAAAATGGCTCAGCCTTCTTAGCAGGTAACGTCACAGGCATGTGTAAGATAAAGAGAGTCATTATCCATGTCAAAGGAAATAGGGTACGCTTTTGGGTGGTTGGTCATGGGTCTCGTGAGTCGTCAAGGAAATAATGAGAATAGAAAAAAGGGCCGGCGGCGGAGAAGGGAGGGGGGAGAGATTCAAAGGCCAGGGTAGGTGATAGGGATCCGGTGTCGAGTCGAAACACAGAAGAAATGGGCACCGGCTTGCGACTCCCCAAGGAAAATCCGGACGCTATGTGACGTCAACCTCGTTCATCACGAGTAGCTCATGAACTTGCCCCATCGCATCTCGAGACTCCTTCTCGCCTTGTGCTTAGCCACATCTGCACCGCTAGACTTGGTGCTAGATATGCTCCTCGAGCTGCCCCCGCTGTATTTGCGAGAGAATCCAAAGGTATCGGGAATTGCAGTGTTTCCAGCACCACCCCTGCCCACATGGAAAACAGGGGCAACTTCTTTCTCGCGGCGCAGCTGACGTTCCAACTCCTCGTCGAAACTGAAGATGGCCCGCTCACTACCCGTGTGAACATTGCCAATGCCACCTCGCCCAGTCGTAAAGCGGTCTTGCGTGCGGCTGTCTAGTCGTGTCAATGAGGCCGGGCCTGTGGCCGATTGGCCAGGGGTTGTAGAGGTGTTTTTGAGGGACATGATGTTGCCGGCACCCCCGCGAGCTGTGTGAATCGCCGGATGATTGGAGCGAGGGACGGAGGGGTGAGGCTCAACCAAGCGATACGACATGATTGGCCTGTCTTTTATATATATATATATATATATATATGTATGTATGTATATATGTATATAATGCTGGTGTTTTATTTTGTCGGTGATAGGATCTGGTTTATCAAGACTTGAAAAAGATAGAGATTGGACTCGAGATATTCTATCAGATGTGGAGGGAAATATATATATATATATATATATATATATATATATGTATGTATGTATGTATGTAAATATAAATATAAATCGCGGGAACTACCGCCTGACGGAGGTATCAAATGGTTGGTGTCAGAGGATAGAATAGATACCAGGGGAAACAGGCATGTATCGCAATAGTTCAAGAGCAAGCGTGAAACTGGATGACGACCATTATTATCTAACAAACTTTTCTCTGGAAATCGGCCTTGTTATAGTTAGAATGGACAGCGGACTGGGTAAAAGAAAATCCAGGGGCCGAGAGGGGGGGGGTTGCGTTAAATATATATATGGCTCTGGAATCATCAGCCCTTCCGCCTGTATGTACCTGGATCCACACATTCCAGTTAGTCAATGGGGTAGGAGAGGGGAATGTCGTACTTAGTTGCTCTCTTCCCTTCCTGTAAAGACAGACACGAACGACTAACTTTCCTTGAATATCCAATACATCCATCCATACGTTTGCTGGTTTCTTAGGCTCAGCGTTGGGGCGGCGGCGGAGCAACCAAACAACCCCCCGGCGCATCCAATCACAAGGCCCAGCCCAGCCAGGCCCTAAAAAGTTTGAGGGCAAAATAATAGAAATCTCCAGGGAACGCCCGCAACAAGCCACCCATGGGAGGTTGGGAGGAGCAGTCACGTGCTTGCAGTTTCAAAACGAGTGTGTTGACTTTTCGACGCCCATTCATTTCGGGGCCAGCAAAACCGTGCCTTTTTTTTTTCTTTTTTCTTTTTTTTTTTTTATTTTCCTTTTTTTTTCTTTTTTTTTTTTTATAATACTTGTTTTTGTTTCCTGTTGCGGGGGGTTGGGGGAAAAGCAACCAGAGGGAACTGGAACTGGAACTGGAACTGGAACTGGAACTGGAGCTGGAGCTGGTTCGTCAAATGACGGTGAAAATCTTGGCTCTTCGGCCAACAATTGCCCTCTCCAAGGCAAACAACACCCCATGGCAACACACCCCACCCATGGTGTTTCATCGCAAGCAACCCCGCCACTACCCACCCCAAGCTTTGTGTGAATGCTGCTGTTTAATGGAATGAGCCATCAGCTGATTGATGGCAGGAGCTGCAACTATCACATAATAGAAACAGGGTTCGAGACCAATCACCGACACGCATCAGAGCGAACGGGAAGAAACTCTGTTGGCCGCTTGTTGGTGGAAGAGTTTGGAGGGAAATAGAAAACCAAGGATCAAAGTATCCCAAGATCCTGCGTAATAATAAGCTCGGGATCGGGAGGAATTATTTGCTTCTGTTTGCCCAGCCCAAGAGCTGTTTATTAGAGTCCTAAAACAGCTTCTCAATCCATGGATGAAGGACTTTTTGGTTTTCATCAAAAGTTGCTGCAAACTGTGGGGTTCCTAATTGTTCTTGAACATCTGGTTAAACTACGTTAATAAATTTCCAGCCAGAATAGAAATGGTTTGGCTCATTTCTTTTTGCCCCGCAAGAATGAATATTTTCTAATCAATGTGTATATACATAAGAGATAGACATGTGCGTTATCTCTCAAGTTCATTGTTCTCAAGACTCAAGGTAGCCCCCCAGTCCCGCTTAATTACAGTTGTGGGAGATGTATATAACTAATTCATCGGATGACCTGAAGGTCAATACTCAGGGCTTTTTGAATAACGGCTCAAAGCGCTGTGATATCGTCTTCTGTTGAACTAATCGGATTTAAATACGGTTTCGAAGCAGCAGGAATGACGTACATATTTACATATACACACAGAAAGAGACGCAAATAAATGGAATTGTCCCTGGTAGATCTGATCTCTTCATCAGCCGTTTTGTCAGTTGTCACGAGATGATGTCGTGGGACCCAGACAACCAGTAAGCCCAGGTCGCCGTTGAACAAACAAACCTCCAACGGACGAGGGATCCCTCCTTTTCTCTAAGCTAGCGTTGGCTGGAAATCACGCACTCTGAGAAGAAAAAAAAAAAAAAAAAAAAAAAAAAACCTAGCTTTGCCGAGAACACACTGCGGAAGGGGATGAAGTTTTGGGGGGGGGTCCGTCGTGATAACTAGCTCCTTGGGTGCAAGCAACGCACCGAACCCGTGTCATTCGAGGGTGGGACTTGACATTATTCGTCTATCGATGGCATGACTTTCATCATCATCATCATCATCATCATCATCATCCACGGAAAACATGCCCCTTTCGAGCCGTGCGCTTTTATAAACCACAAGGATGAGCTCGAATATTGAATAACTAATGCCGTGCAGCAATTAGGTCATGAATAGCCAATAATGTTTACCCACAAGTCAGAGCTTTGCCGTGTGTATGCAAAAATTTGCAAGCATGATTGTAGTGCCGACGTTGGAATTGAAATGGAGAATGATGTCCCCGTTAAATTAACTAGTTATAGTTAGCCATTAGTTAACTAATATGTGTTAAGACGGTTGAACAGTGAAAAAAATAATTTCGAGTCTGGTAGAGATAATATATTGAAAAATTGTACATGTCAGATATAAACATAAATTCTCATTCTCTGCTCATCATCCTCCGCCATCCTGTTTACGCATTGAGAGTAAGTTCATCTTGATACTTGTAAATTCTCACGATTCGCCTACAGTTATGTTATGTTCTGAAGGACAGATGTTCGCGACTCCAAGCACCACCTTCTCATATAATCACGTGATCCTTAAAACCGCTGCATGTAGTTAATTCTTTTCGACCCAAACTCATCGAGCTTCTTCCCAAGTCCGCAAACTATCGAACCACCGCGTATCATGTCTCGGTGGAAAGATCCCTAAACTTGGACAATGCCCAAAGCTTTCCCGCTGCGTCCAATCCCCTCTTAAGCGATCTGCCCAGCAACTTGCGCATTCTTCAATTTCCCGACTAAATCGGATCCTTTCAAGATAGGCGCATCGAAACCCTGCTGCTTCTCAGGACAAGCGGGCGACGGCAAATGAGCATTCGCTCCTTTTCTTTTCTCTCTCTATTTGCCAAAGAAGCTGACCGGGTATATTGGGAAGTTTGCGCGGTGACTGGAAAAATTAGGGACATATCCCACGACAAAATTGAGTTTTTTTTTTGACTGGTGGTTAAATTATCCACCCATCAAAAATGCCAAAATATAAGTTCCGCTCTCCTTATTAGCTAAATCAGCCTTGTTTGTTGCTTCTGTTGTTGGAGTCTTGTATGTGCAAAACCCCTGCTGACATTCTCTGTACTCTTCTGTAGGTTTCCCCTCAGTCTTCCCCGCCGAAGCTCCAGGGACCGTCTTCCAATCCTTCCCCCTCTTTTAGATACAGATCAAACGACGGTGAAGAAAGATACATTATTGATACTAACAAATATTTACTTATTTATTTTGCTTAGGTGATTACTGCGATGTATACCTGACGCACGATTCCATGAGCGTGCGAAAGGCGCACAACTCAGGTCGAAATCATTTACGCAACGTTGTCGAATATTATCAAGGTAGAGCTTCTTATACTCTTTTCCACGCTGATGCGCGTACCGGGAAGGACTATATTCTATCAAGAGTCCATTTACAGGTTAATTAAGGAGTATCCAAGCTGACAAGACTTCATTTACTGCGGCAGAAATTGGCCATGAGAAAGCACAGTCAGTCATCGATTCTATCACAAACTCATACGCCGCAGAAGGACAGGCGAGCTCGAATCCAATGCTTCAACAACCAGGCATTTCCGGAGCATACCCTCCACCACCCTTTGGCTTCCCTGGTAAGTTCCCAGTGAAGACATCCCTATCCGTTCTCTTCGTAAATGCGCCCCCTAACAGCTACTCGAAGGCCGACCAGGAATGCCACCGCCTCCACCATTCGGCATGCACGGCGGACCCCCAGGCGGCCCTCCCGGAGGAATGATACCACGTAAGTATCAACTTCCCCAACGTATCCACAGTTGGCAAAAATGTAAAGTAACACCATGCAGCTCCAGGAGGCCGCGGCATGCCGTCCTTCCCGCCTCCACTCCCATTCAGTGCAGCTGGCTCATCCGGTGCACCGCCCGGACCCGGCGAGGTTCCACCCTTATCACTCCCAAACATGCCGTCAGGCAGTCTCCCGTTCCCTCCACCCGGTGGCTTCCCTCCTAACTTTCAATTCCCCTTGCCCGGAGCCGCAGGCTTTCCTCCACCACCCGTCCCGGGCCAGGGACAACACCCAGGTCCAGGTGCAGGCCAAGGAGCGGCGGGTATGCCACCGGGTATTCCAGGGTCTGGTGCACCTCCACCTGGGCTGCCTCAGGGGTTTAACGCTCCACCAGAGATGCCACCATCTTTAGGGCCACCTCCGGGGACTAGTAGTGGTAGCGAGGCTAAATGAAATGAATGCGTTTCTTGTCGTTTTCTTCCCTATTCCCTTTTTTTTTAAAAAAAAATTATTATTCCCTTTCTTATCCTGTTTGTTCTATGTCTCTGTATGAATAAGTTTTGTATTATTTCATTTTTCTTTTAAAACAAAATCGCATGGTTTTTTTCATCTCACATTTGCAGCCATATATATCATCATCCTTAGCCACCCGTGGCTTCGCGTTAGCTGTTATATTTTACAAACTAGAGCGGTTGTCCTTGTGGCCGGTTTCAAAGCAAATAAACGGAGTCGACTTGTATTGTGATTTTGGGGGTAGATTAGGAGCTGGTTTTCTGGATACATGAAGTTTGAGATTCACATCCGTTGGGGTGGCATGTGCAGTGTTGTGTACGTATCCCTTTATCTGCGAACGATAGGGTTTCTTAAGTCCATTTATACATGGGAAACGCGATGGCAATCTCATTCTACTGTTGTTGAAGGGACGCCATTTTGCTTTGGCCCAGTTCAACTTTTTAGGCATGATAAATATATATAGTGCTAGTGAAAGACTCACTCCGTAAAACCGCTAACAAAATCTATATCCCTCAATATGTCACTGAATCTCAACATGCTGCGAGATCCTCCACTTTTAGCCATGTGAAATCATGCAACGAGGAAAATAAATCCTACGTGCGGGCTCTCAGGAAAATCGAGAAAAAGGGTAAAATATAGATGGATATCTCCACACTTGGTGGCAAGCACAAAAAAAAAGTTTAAGAACTTAAAGTACTCAACTCAAAAATCTCCCCGACAGGGAATCGAACCCTGGTCTCCCGCGCTTGGCACGTTAATGACAAGCGGAAATCATGACCACTAGACCATCGAGGACGCCTTGATATTCGTCCCGAATTTCCGACATAATATAAACAAGAGTGCAACGTTGCCAGTTCAAAGTGGAATTCCGCCAAAGGTCAAACCAAAGTAAAGCGAGTGGCATCTCATACCGACAAAGCAGTATATATACATCTCTTATCAGACAAGGAATGAAAAAGGTTTGTGTTATATTTTACCGCCATAGGAAAGTAGATTTACAGAAAGGTTGGGCTCCTTAAATCCTGGAAAAGAACATATAGAGTGAGAGAAGGGGTCTTTTTCTGTGATTTAGAAGTTTGTTCCCAATAAATACTCCCGTAAAATTTAAACCAAAAGCAAAAGCGAAAATCAAACAAAGTGCAAAGGGAACGTACCCCACGATCACATTTTGAGCCAACAACAGGAATATAAGGCTGAAGTATTATATATCAAGGAAGGAAGCCAGACGTATCCACGGACCAAGACAACACAGATTGGATAAAAAAGAAAACGTGGACGAAATGGCAAATAACGGCGTAGGGAGAAGAAACGTGAAAACTCGAAATGCATGACCATGTTTTATCCACAAACTACATATGTTCACACCACATGAACGCCTGGAGCAACGTGTAGGAAAAGCTCTCTGCTTGATAAGGGATCAACCACTGCCAAAGTGCCTAACAGCGGAAAAGCGGTAAACGAGGAAAGTCACATATATCATGGGGCAAGAAAAGAAGGTTCCAGGGAAGCAAAGGAGACAGGAAGAAAACAAATGACAACTGATGCCAAATAAAAAGTGCGACCCGTGATAAACCTAATAATATTAAAAAGAGGCTACAAAGGAGGGAAAACGAAATACTGTTGCCAGCCTCGGGAGAGACCGTCTCTCCATTTCGAATTGACCAAATGTTGTATCACCTGGAAGATGTCTACTGCTCATATCCTGCACCACGCTGCCATGGGCTATTGTTGTTTTGCATTCTATATTGCCCTGGGTTCGAATTCGCCGAAGGGGCTCGTGGTAACGGTGACGTATTGAAGCTTCGGGGCACTGGTGATCTATTTTGCGCCCGTGAGTATGCTGGACCTCCGTCTGGAGGCTGTGCGTTATATATCGGGGGTGGGCCACTGCTAAATTGGTTGTTGGTCGGAAATAAAGCTAAAGAGGGATCTAGTTGAGAGCCATGCTGTTGGCGTTGTAGGATGGTTGGTGGGGAATCTGGCCGACGGCCATAGGAGTTACCGGAGAGATTATCGTCTTCGAGCGATTTCGATTCACCGCGAGCAGTGGCTCCAAGAGCGTCCAGCTCCGTTGTCAAATGAGTCTGGGACTTGATGAAAGATCCGCGGTCATCTCTCATTGGCTGGTACCGTGTATCTGGGTTCTTGGACACTATGGCATACACGGACGAGATGAGAACTAGAACAAGCAGGATAAGGGCGAATACTGCATTAACAACGAAAAGTACAACTCCCATAATACCAGTGACCAAGCCCTATGAGGGTTAGCGTCAGAACTGTCTGAGAATGTCCCAAAGAGCAAAGGAGACGTAACACTTACGGGTTGATTGAATACTTGTGTGAAGAAGAGTAGTAGGATCACATTGAAAAAGTTGACTGCGGCAATGGAGATGTTGAAAATATTTGTTTTCTTGTCCATCCATGGCCTCAAAACACTGACAGCGATCAAAACAGCGGCTTCAATGATAAGCAAAGCCACTGATTGAACCACGGGCGCAGGCTGTGCCAATCCGACAAACATGCTTTTAACCAAGATGTAGATCAGAACAGGGATAACCCAGTAATAAGCCGTAGCCCTGTACTGAACATAGAGGAAACCCCACTTGTTCAGTGCTGAGGGATCCGAATAGAGGACGTATGCGGGATTTTTGTGCAGCTCCACGGATTTCTTGACTAATCGAATCACTGTAAAAGCTGCGAAACCCAAGGATGCACTCATCGCAAGTAACATAAACGCGGCGAGGACAACTTCAGCAGGTGAATCTCGTTGGGTGAATTCCCACAAGCAGAGTATGCACATTTGTGGATAACCGATCAGAACCTAGGAAGCATAGTGGTTAGTTAAAGTCGGTCGATTCTTCAGAAATAGGTGATCTTACCAGTCGGAACAAGATGCCCCTCATAACAATTTTCCACCCATTTCGGAAGTCCTGGAACTTATCACCCTTAATCCAACCTTTCTTAGACGCAATCTCGCAAAATCCCTTAAATAATGCTACGAGACCCATAACAACAGCCACGAAAAAAACGAAAAATATCAGCCCGGTCATGAATATATTTGTCCTTTCGATGTGCGCACGGAATCCAACTCTTTCAATGCCCCGAACGATGTAATTTCTCACAGTTTCACCAATAGTGTTATCATTGTTTGTTCGCTTCATGAGCTGCGTTGGTACAATGGGCAAATTTTTTTCGAGCCAATCGATGGATCGCTTTTGAACTTGAACGGATGTAGTTGAAAGTGATGACAAGACCGTGGATGGTGTGCCGCCAGTTGATCGTTGATACCAAGTGCAAATCCTTTGCAGAAAACCAACACGGATAATACCCATGCTCCACTGAAAGTTTTGGGTCCATGACTGCACGATTGGCGGAAGGGTGACACTGGTCATTCCAATCATGGCTTGAGCCTGGAAGAATCCAAAGAGGGAGAGCGCATTGGCAGCAACATGGGCGGCTGCGTTCCCATGGCCTAAACCAGAGGTTATAGCAGAAGCAACCAGTCCAAGACCAGCAATCGCTGCGACAACCCAACCTACAGCTTTGTGATAAACGGTATTGCCATTGGAAAGTCGGGCTTCCAGGCAGGCAATGCTTCGGCCGGTACTGGTTGAATTGATATATACCTGAATTTTAAGATCGAGATCGGGGACTCCGTATGCAACGGCTGTAGTTGTGATATGTTAGACTATGGAAAAGCAAAGACGAAGTGGGTGGGGGAAGAGAACAAGCAAAATGGCACTGTTTAAATGGGGGAAACACATACTTGGAACCTTATTAAGAAAATCTGGAGAAAGATTTTGGATGTTAAACTTGTTATCGATGGGGCCAGTCTGCATAGGACAGAGACCTTTCAAGTTTAAGCCCTCAAGTTTACACGGATTTATGCTTTGTTTGAGTGCAGAGTACCCATAAGCGAACAGTTCTACATCTGCAGTTATGAAGCCGCTAATTGACGAAACGCCAACAATCTCCACATAGAGGGTATTATTTTCAGGTGTAAGGAGGACTTTGAATAAACTGGCTGTGAAGTTCGAATTGTCCTGGCAAGGATTGAGGGACCTCGACTCAATTAACTTCACGGCGGAGACTAAAGAGGTGAAGGGGAGGAAGGCGACCAGACACGAGAGGAACCCTAGAAGATTCATTGTCGAAGGCAGGTGGTGGGGAGGAAGACAAATGTCGATCTAGATGATTCAGGCATCCAATGTCGCGACGATGATACGATGATGCCTTCCAGTAGAAGAGAAAAATAGGGTACCCCAGAGCACCTTTTGTCCCTTTATTACTAGGCCCACCCGGGTGAGGTTCGGTAGCTGAGGAGACTATGGGGTCGATTTGGCGAAGTGGTGAGTATCCCAGGCTCGAGCCCTGATGGATATTAACGTAACGATCGTCGAAAAAGTACAGGGTAGGTTGGTAAAGGGTGTATCTAGGGGAGAATTACAACAGGAAAGCGAGTGGAGTTGCTTGGCAGGATGAAGTTGGCGATGATGTAGCGATAGTGAACCGTATCCCTTCCGAAAAGGTTGATGGATAGTGGGATAAATTACAACAACAGAAAGGAAAACCTAGAGAGTGGAATAACGTGGCAAAGATAAGCAGACAGTCTCCAGACAAGCCGCAGAGAGACGGAAGGGAGAAGGACGAGGAGAAGGTCAAGGGGCGGGGAGAGAGAAGAAGTTGAAGTTGAAGTTGAAGTTAAAAGAAGAGAAAGAAGCAGAGCGGTTTGAAGGAGAAAGGGATGGGGAGGCCAGGATTTGGAAGGAGAAAGGGATGAGTATTGCCAGGATTTGGAAGGACTTAGATGTTTTGGAGGGCGTTGAGCCGTATGTAACCCGTATTGCCAAACCTTAATAAGCGAACAGAGATTGGAGATTCAGAGTGTTCCATGGTCGACCGCGTAATATAGTAGGTATTTATTCACAGAGAATACAGTCCGGTGAGTATTTTCAGGTATTATGTGGGTCATCATCAAGATGTATTGCAGCCAATAATGGTGGCTGTCTCAGGCAAATCTGAAAGCTAAGCCATGTTCCAAGGAACGGTTTCTTGCGTTAGAGATACAACACAGTACTAAGGGAGGCTGGAGAACAGAAAGCACCTTGGCTGGATTGACTGGTTGTTGATGTAACTCTGCCCATAGTTGTAGAGAAACATCCAGGGGGCACTTGTTAACGCTGGACATGCAGCATGGGAAACAACCAACCCTGGAAGAGCTTTGGAGACACCTGGAAGAGGACTAGGTCTTGCAGCAATCCCCCCGGTGGGACAGAGTTCGTTCCTCTTCTCTATAATATGCATTTCCATTGAGCTTTCAGTTAGACTTATTGCATCCCTATTTGAGAGCTTTAGAATGAGATGTTGTTTCAAAGAAATGAAAAACAACCCCCTATCAAAAGAAACCCTCCGACACATCTTAACTACCAAAAGCGGCTGAAGACTCTCTTCTTCAGAACGTTCGATCGAATGACTTTCTCTGATGAATAAAGGTTACCACTCCCATTCCCTCCGTTGATATTGCACAAGGAACATCTCGTATGCCTATATCCCCGGTTGCACAAAGCAACAAAACATCAGTCACTGATTGATTCAGCCTCGATTTTTAAGATCCTCGACTTTTTGATCGTCACATTATGTGTGGAGGGTATGCGGTAATGTATCTGCCGCTGCCGCTGCCGTTCACCGTAATAACAACAATAATAGAGTCGGTGAAGTGGAAGCCGTCTACCATTCCGCAATCTTCTACCGTCAGGTTTGTCACAAAATAATATATCATAGCTACGCCGCAACCCATAACTAACTTATCCAAAGCAGAAGAGGTTTTAAAATAGTGTGTGGGGTATGAAGAAGTACGTGTCCCCACTGACTTACTCAGACAAGTCTGTCTGCACAGCCTCCTTTTGTCTTTCCAAGAATCCAGGTTAACCGCTTGCACCAAACCTCTGTGCGCCGCAGGCTGGTTGGATTGATCAATGAAGAAACAGCCATTCTGCAACCACCTGACAATTTTCCGGAGAACTGGGCATACAAGTTGAGCAAATCTCGGGCCGGAAAAACCTTCAATGTGGTTTATGCTAAATTGAGCCATCCCCTCTTTAAAACCACATGCACTAGTCATATCTCACACATATATCTCAACACACCATCTCTATGCTCTTGATGGAAGCGGGTGTATCGTATTTCTCATGACCCTTACTCTTTACTAACCCTAACCCTAATACCTAATCTTTTGTTACAAACTATAGTTAATTAATGATAGATATGACAACTTCTTCATAATATCTTATAGTTATGTGAATTTAAGGACAGATAATTTTTTCATAACCCTAATTTTAATTTTAATTCTAATCCTAATCCTAACTTAATCTACTTCTAACCTAATATAACCTAATCTTATCTAATACTAATCTGGTGTTGAGGGTGGTGAGGTTGAATAGAGATGGATTCAGCAATATGTATATGTGGTATATGTGCAGAGTCAATAAACTGTGTTTATTTTAAATGGGTGACCTGAGTTGAGTGTGTTTTTAAAAAAGTGTTCTCAACTTTTAACGACGTTCAACTTTTTGAAACCACAAGTGTAACTATTCAAGGAACAAAAGAGATATCTCGAGTCTCCCTGCATAGATCAAACTGACTATGAAGAAATCAACAACAGTACCGAACATGATTGGTTAGAGTTCCTTGACATAAGTTGAGAAAACAATAAACTAACCGCTCAATAGAGTTTCGGATGATGTCTCATGTGTGTTGCGGATAATAAAGAGGTTGTGTCAAAATCAATAGTTAGTATGGACGTGATATCATATTTAACTCCATTTTGTTTGTTCAAGCACGACCACACATGTGTCCACATCATAACTAAACCATACAATGATCGGATCTTGATTGTATTGTGGCCTTTGTTGCACTCCTGTCACTGACGAGGACCACAGAACGTACATAAAGTCGGCTGTGGGGAGGAATAATGAGGGACCTCCACGGCTTCATATCCAGAAACCCCATGTTCTGCCATTTAAATGCTGCGACTAATCTAAGCGGTATGGAATCAATCGATTGAAGTTGTTTGTTTGAAGGATGATGAATGGTAACCCTATTCTGCGATTGTTTGCAACCCACCCCACTTTCCACCAACAGAACCGTCAACCTTATATATGTAAGGGTGTTGAAGCTACACTAATATTTCGTCGGGTTTTGACCGCGGAGGATCCGTACGGAGCACCTGAACAACTTTGCTCTGTTCTCCATAGCATAGGTGGATAGAGAGGGCTGGAAAATTCAAAAATTTGCAAGCCACAATCGTTAGACGGCTTTAGCCGGTTATTATTAAGATCCGTCTTCGACACGTGATCTAACCGCATGTTCACGTGACCGAGAGAGCCGGATGGGAGATCGACGAACGAAGATGCAAACGCAATCAATATCTGTCATCAATAAGATTTCCGAGATGGAGTTGAATGAATTTACCCAAGTCATCTCATGCTTCCTTCCATAATTATGAATGGGTATTATATTCTTCTTCCTCATCCTCTGCAGGTTTGGTTCGCTGTTGCAAATTTTATTCTTCAACTAGCCAGATTTATCCCGAAATATCTACAATTAAACAACCACTAATTAAATTAAACTAAAATATTGTGTGTTCTTTTATGCTCAAGAGTATTGCAGTTGCTGCACTGTATAATCTTATTATTTCATCAATTAAAATAGTTTTTTATTTTTAGAAATTAGTTGCAAGTTGAGTCCTGTCCTTCTACTTCTATAAAATTTCTTTTATTTTTATTGTGAATTGCATTCTAACATGTCAAAATAGTTTAATGTTAATAAATTAGTGTTGTGTTGCAATTCGATGTTTGCTGATTATGCTTAAACTATTTAACATGGTTGGAGCGGCTGCCGGGGTAACGGTTAATCCGTGACGCCCGACACATACTTCTTCCCAGACCCATTATAGCCACGTGACCAACTGCCAATAATTTTATTTTTATTTTGCATCTCAAAGCTATCGCAGAGAATAATAAGTGAACGAAATACTCGTTGACGACAAAACACAGATACCCAATAACTACATTGAAGCGCTGGAAGGGGGAAGTGTAATGGCGATGGAAACGGAATTGTCTAAAAAGAGGAAAAGAAAGCATGGCCCATCTGGTGAAGGCGTGGGGAAACGAGACAAATCCGCAACCGTACCAGAAAATGCTTCTCTCAACGCTGCTGCCCCTTCTGCAGTACCGAAGGATTCGAAGAAACGCAAGACTGGCCACTCCGCTTTGAGAAATGGTGGGAAGAGGGAACATCTCGATGAGTTAGTTAAGCCGACTGAGGAATCCGACGACGTGGAGGAAATTGAGAACGAGGAAAATGGAGAAGAAAAGGATGAGGAGTCTCAGGGGGAAGCAAAGAGACAAACAAATGGAGACCAGTTGGAACTACCTTCATTGAATGCTGTCTCGCTACCACAAACTGAGGCTGAGCCACAGAAATTCTCAGAGCTGAATCTCTCTGAGAAGACGATGAAGGCGATTGAAGATATGAAGTTTGAGACGATGACTGAAATTCAGCGTAGGGGCATACCTCCGCTCTTAGCGGGGAGAGATGTTTTGGGTGCTGCGAAGACTGGTTCGGGGAAAACGTTGGCGTTCTTGATACCTGCGGTGGAGATGTTAAGTGCATTGAGATTCAAGCCTAGGAATGGTAACACGCCTCACACTTCTCTTTCATTAATGTTTTATGTATATCTACCGAGAAAAGGCTCAGTTGAACTGACGGGATCTGATTAGGAACGGGGGTCATCGTTGTTTCACCAACCCGAGAACTTGCACTTCAGATCTTCGGTGTAGCGCGAGAACTCATGGCTCACCATTCCCAAACTTACGGCATTGTTATTGGAGGCGCCAATAGGAGAGCTGAGGCGGAGAAGCTCGCGAAAGGTGTAAATCTACTTATTGCGACACCAGGTCGCTTGCTCGATCACCTGCAAAATACGCAAGGGTTTATATTTAGGAATCTCAAGGCTCTCGTGATCGACGAAGCGGACCGAATTCTGGAGGTCGGATTCGAGGATGAAATGCGCCAGATTGTCAAGATTCTACCCTCTGAAGATAGACAGACAATGCTGTTCTCCGCCACCCAGACGACGAAGGTTGAAGACCTCGCACGTATTTCACTGCGACCAGGACCACTGTATATCAATGTCGACCACCGCAAGGAGTACAGCACTGTTGAGGGTCTGGAACAGGGCTATGTTATTTGCGATTCTGACAAACGATTCCTTCTTCTCTTCTCATTCCTGAAGCGGAATCTGAAGAAAAAGATAATAGTCTTCTTCTCCAGCTGTAACTGCGTCAAGTATCATGCCGAATTGCTCAACTATATCGATCTCCCTGTGCTCGACCTCCATGGCAAGCAGAAACAGCAGAAGCGTACGAATACGTTTTTCGAATTTTGCAATGCGAAGCAAGGGACGCTTATATGCACAGATGTTGCCGCGAGAGGTTTGGATGTAAGTCAATTCTGTGAACAAGATTTTTGAACTGACTTTTCTAATGTGAATGTTGTAGATCCCCGCCGTTGATTGGATTGTGCAATTTGATCCCCCAGATGATCCTCGAGACTACATCCACCGGGTTGGTCGAACTGCTCGCGGTGCGAACGGAAAAGGACGAAGCTTGATGTTCCTGCAACCCTCAGAAGTGGGTTTCCTCAAACACCTGAAGGAGGCCCGTGTCCCTGTCGTCGAGTTCGATTTCCCCTCGAAGAAGATTGTCAATGTCCAATCTCAGTTGGAGAAACTAATTGGTCAAAATTACTATTTGAATAAGGTAAACACAAGCGCATATTAACAAAACACCAATTCTTTCACGTATACTACATTTCCACTAACTCGCACTAAAAATATAGTCTGCAAAGGACGGCTACAGATCCTACCTGCAAGCCTACGCCTCGCACTCCCTGCGCTCCGTCTTCAACGTCCACAAACTCGATCTTGTCAAGGTAGCGAAGAGCTTTGGATTCTCCACTCCACCACGTGTAGATATTACGCTTGCTGCAAGTATGAGCCGGGACAAGAAGCAACAGGGTCGCCGGACTTATGGAAGCCAGCCTAAACATGCGTCAAAATTTAAACGGAGGACGGAAGATTAGAGTGCTCTGTTGTGGCTATTTAGTTAGTTCATTCCCTATTTCAGTTTTAGAGGTTTAGGGGTGGCTGAAGTTGACGTTCGTATAGAAGGTGGTTGTTCCACAGAAATATATATCCCGTTTATTCAGAAAAAAACTTTTCTTGTCTTGATTTCTTGTTTATGGGTAAGGTGAAAGGCGTTCTAGGTAACTAGGAGTTTGGACTTTCTCATTTCTTCTCTTTTTTTTCTTTTCAATAATAATTAATCATGTCTGTCAAGTTTTTCCAGCTCCCTTCAAAAGACCATGCGTGAGAGTTTCCTATTTCGAAGCTCGCCAGGGTATGATCATACGCAATAGCAACTTGGTGCATACATGTGTGCACAAGCAACTCGAATTCTAGCCGGACCTGCACTTCCATACCCTATTTTTTTTCGGAGAAAATCCAATCAGCCACTAAACTCTTCCATAGAAGGACGTGTGTAACATCCCTTCCATCAGCTAGCAAGATATATACCTTGGATGCTGGCGGGGTTTAAGAGCAAAATAACTCTGTTGCTGGAAGATGAGCAGTGAGTATTTTCCCCTCCTTCCCATGGCAACAAGGATACATAAGGCCAAAAAATCAGACAAATTCAATTGACATTATCGCAGACACCTTCCCAACTAGTTTCAAGAGCCTCAAACGAGATCGGCCTTCCATTGCGTGATTTTCCCTTCTTGGCGAATCGCTGCCTCATCATCCATAAATAGTAATCTCGTTGCCATGTCCTGACCGACTCAGGATATAGGTTATACGTCAGTTTATAGAAGGCTATGAGAGCTGCGTATCGGATTCTTGACCACCAGGTGCTCTTGAGGCCATAGCCTTCCCGGACACGTTCAGGAAGCTCCTCTGTAGCTATTGCCATCTCAAGCGGGTGTCTGAAGAAGAGGATCATGGCGAGGATATGCGGAATATTGACGTATTTGGGATGAATGATGTCTTGAGCAACATGGAGGGCGTCGTCAGGAACCCGGAGGTCTGCAATCTGTCTGTCCCAGTATCTCTGGAAAGCTGTGCGATTCTCCGGCCACAGGGACAGTGGGACTTGCAACATTGTCCCAAAGGTCGAAAATTCCTGGTACACTTGGTCGCGCTCTAGTTCAGAGAGACGGCAGAATATGGATTCGTACTTGTCCAGCATGGTCATGTATATCGTTGCGGTGACCCAAAGTTGCAGCTGTGGATCCATCGAGTCGTAGGTATTCTCTGTCCGGTTGTCGTTTACTTTTCGATGTGCGAGGTTGACAAAGTTACGAAGAGCTATTTTCTCTGTCTCAGAGCCAAATGCCATGACATTTATGTAGATGGCTGTATTCTGCGTCCGTTCTAGAAGGCGGGTCCTGAAGTTGCTATGCTTCCGAATCCCTTTTGCAATGCCGGGGTGAGCGATTTGGAGAAGCACGGCGGTTAGTCCACTGGTGTAAGAAGCGGATTCTTGGACAACCCGCTTCAAGAGTGGCAAATCCGTATTTAACTTGCGTTTATTGATCTCTTCGCAGTCTCTCCCTGAGTTAAATGACAGTACATTTTTCATGGTGGAGAGAGGTGGCCCCCCGGGCCGGGTTCCGGTCACCAAGTAGGCAATCCGGAGAAGGCTGGCTGCACAATGATTTCGGTTAGTTAAACCCTGAACATCATCGGAGATGGAAAATACGAGCCTGCGACAAATGGAGAGATGAAGAGGATGCCGACGTATCCCCCAGCTGTCCAGAGGCCGATCTTAGAGATAAGTTTGAGCACGTATATCGGATCTGCGAAAAGCATCTTCACGAACATAGTTACTGTTCTCCTCTCCGTACAACATATTTGCAAGTCATTGAGGTTCTCTTAAAGTTAACAGAAGACGGAGACACAAGCACGATCGGGTTAGTTATAATTTCGGGGCAGCCAGGGATATCATCCGTTTCTGATTCAGTATAACCCGCCTCGAGGGATCTCGGTGTAACACTACGAAGGGCTATAATGACCGAAAATACTGGGAACTGCAGCGATGCGACTACGCGCGGATGCGACGGTGTCTCTTTGTAATTGGCACCCATTGCGTTTGCAAATCGGACGGCCATCATCGGCAGTGGAGGGGTTCGGATGACCGACGTGGTATGATAAGTTCGGTAGCTGGGGCCACAGTCAGTAATTATTCAATATAAGATGCAATGAAAAAGGGTTTCGGCATGAAGGGGATGTTCTGGACATGAGCGCAATCTCCCCAAGGTTTGCTATATTTTTACTAGTTTTTGGGGCCCTTCGAGTTTGCTCACAACTTTTCGCTCCTCCTGGGAAGACAAGACGATCCAACTCCAAACTGAATAAAACTAATGATAGCCTGCCATCTGCCGAAGTTTCACGCAGATACTAATAGGTACCTGACTGTGCGATGCGCACACTTGCAGCTGCAAACCGCAGCGTTCGATAACTCCACTCAGGATTCCTGCATCCTGCCTGTCTTCCCCTCCATGGAATCAAAAAATTCGCAAACTCGAATTCATTGAATCGGCAAATGCGGTGTCATTTAACACCATATTTTAGAACACAGAGGCGCTATCAGCTATTTTTGCATTATATCTGCGGATTGGAAATTCACAAGTTCCGTTTAATTGATATCTTTCTGCAGCATGGTGTTAAAATTTAAAATTTCGGAGCAAGCTTCTGCCAAATATAGTTTAAATATCTCTCAAGCCGAAGTCCTCGAAAGGCATATTTTTCTCTTTTGCCACAAAATGGAACAAAACACGATATAAAGGATCGAAGTTTAAAATGGATCCTGTTTACAGAAGATAATATTCCGTGTCCTCCTCCATCCTCTGAACATAAACCCTTGGTGACGCACCTTACCATTTGTCTGACCTTGGTGTGAAAATACTTCCAATTCACCGTTCGGTGAAACCCCGTTTTGTCAAAATTTCTTTGAATCAATATATTACATACCTATTTGTGTTTGTCTATTTTTTTTTTTTTTGGAATTTTTGTGTCGCCCGTCTTCCGAGACCATTTAAGCCTGGTATCTCCGTCTTTGGAATATTTCGCCTTTGCTGGGAGTTTTACCAAACGAAGTTTGCTTCTGGGGGTTTGCCTCGAGGATCCATCCAGTCTTGTCCTCCTTTTCAGTATGCTGCGTGGAAGTCGCACACACTCCCCCTGAGTTCCCACCGCAAAAGTCCACCTATGCACGCTGAGAAAATTTCAAGAGCTAGACGGGTTATTGGATGAGCCAACTCTCATCCTTCAAAGATTCTGAAGGATTGGCATCATTAGACGAGCGCAGTCAGTAGACTCCCTAACTGCCTCAGCCCTTTCATCCTATCTCTCCACGTCAAACCATTGCTACTTTTTGTTGCCTCCCAAATGGACGGAGAGCAATATCCCATCCCAAACCGGTAAATTGGACCATTTGATGCACTAATAAATGAGAATGGGAATGAGAATGAGAATTGAATCGTGTGGCCCATACTGTTTTGGTCTGTCTGGTTCTCCTGCATCTGGACGTTGTCCCACACCAAGGGACCTCCTTTCCCTGTATGTTTTTTTAAATACACTGGCGTCCCTCGTTTGTACTTCGAAACCTGCAACTTCAGACATATAAACCACTGATCCGGCTCAGTGTTGTGTTGTTTCCCTCAACTTATGTGGTTAAGCACATCGTTTCCGAAAAAAAGAAGCTCAAGCGTATTCAATTCGCCGAGATAAAGGCCCCGGCCACCCAAAATTTTCCTCAAACATATGGATTATTTTTGAACATACACTCATTTACCTCTTAACACCATCCTATCCTACCGGGACAGAAGGTCGCGAAAACACTCCCATCGCTTGCGACCGCGACGGGGGGGGGCGTCCTGTCACAGGCGTATGAGGAGCGTCATCTGAGCTGAGGATTCCGTAGAGGTAGGCCTATTCCCAGAGCCATTGACTCTTGAATCAAAAACCCCTAGAGATCATGACATGGAAGACCAGGAATCTGAAATTGGGGCAGTGAATGGTTTTGTGTACCAGACAATCTGGTCTAAGTGAAGGATTTGGACGTGTCGGACGGACATCGCATAGTCCATAGTAATTAATTAATACTAGGAACCATTAAGTCCCCTTACTGTGACATTCCAAGTCTATCCCTGGAAGTATATTGTTAACCATTGTGCGGATTTTGGGGATACGACATGCCTTAAAAATTCTGATGACGCATGCTCCATGGGCGCAGTCAGTGTGTCAGCCTGTCTCTTGGGCAGCTTCCAGAATTCGAGTTACTAATAATGACACATCTGTCTGAATACTGGATCTCGAAATCCATGAATGGCTCATTGACCAACTCGGGATCAACTGTTGGCCCGCCAAATGGCACCCATCCATGTGGCTCGTATGACATGGCGGTTGTGTGACAAAGCAGAGTCTTTCTGTACTCTTCAAAAGTTTCTCTACATTTGAGGTAGGTAGCAATTATGTAGCTGAGTCTGGTGCACAAGAAGATACTGTCCGGAGTAAACCAGTGTACGGACAGAGCGTGGGTTCTACGGTGGGGCGATCCATCCATCTGTGCTCTCAGAGATCAGTAATATGCAACTTGGAGCTTTCGTGTATTCTACCAGACAAGTTGATTTTTGATATGGAATTGAGTGAGAAGTCACTTGGCAACCATTGTCCATATGAAATTCATATGAAGACTCAATTTGAAGCTGAACTGTGAAGGACATCCAGGTGCAGTGACACAAAGAACAATATAAAACCTTACACCTGATAATTTCTTGCAAGAAATCTTTGAGAGAGAGAGATAAAAGAACTCAATCATACTGAATTCACAGTGAAATCTGGTTAGAGTGCCATTTTAACAAGCTTCAGAGAGCATGAGATCAACTCAATAGCATCAAAGCAAAGGTATCTGAGGTAGCTGCTACAGTCATAAGCTCTACACAGGTATGATTCCCTGCTATACGCGTGTTCTTTGCACATCCTTTACACGTAGTTACCAAAAGGAAAACGGGACTGTAGCAATAAAATAGTGGACGAAGCAATGGTTTATCTGGAAGATATAATCACGTGATATATCGGACAGGAACCATGGAAGTGGGCTAAATGGACGGGTAGTCCGCAGAGGCCTCCATGGGTGACTGAGAAGTGGTTCCGCGGGAAAGCCTATCAGAAACCTAGGTTGACGACGGGCGTCTTCTCGGCCTATTATTGGACACTCTATGTGACTCGATGGAGGGAGAGGTAACTAACAAACGATGTTGGGCACTTACTAACATGGGTGGGAGAGGGGAACGTTCACAACATGATTTGTGAGGATGGTAAAACCCAACAAGTGATGTGGCTGGGAACTTCTTGAACTTGGAAGTGGAAATCGTGTTGCCTCTTATGGAGCAATGAGCGATGAGTATTAAAATTTTTTTTTATGCCATTGTTTTATTCAACCTTCGTTTCGTCTATTGCTGTCGGCAGGACGGTATCATCCACACTAATGACGGGCATTTAACCTTGGAAGCGTTCCATCATACCTGACTGAGGTTGGCGACGGACATGATTTTGAGTTGGTGGTGTGGAGTTGATGCGTTGGCAAGCACGAAAAGTATGAAATCTGGGCAATGGTGGGACTAGCCAATTGCCTTGTGGGGTTGGGATTTCGTTGTCCAGGGGACCAGTAAAGCCGCTAAACTTTAACTGTAGGCTTCTCATGGAAAATTGAAGGTTGTTGTGGCTGGAGCGTGCTACTTGTATTGTTGCATCGGTGGGGGTGATGGGATATTGATGATTTGCTTGAGAACGTTCGAAATCAAACACCGCACAGACAACGCCTGGGAAATTTTGAAACATTGCTATTGATAATAAATATAGAGTCAGCAGCATTCATTAGTCACCTAGTTGTCAGTCAAGATGATGCTGTTGTCACCAGCATTTTTGTAGAGTTGATTAAGGGTGGTTGATGCCCCCCCCCAACCCATCAATCCTTTGCACCACACACACACGTATGCAAGAGAAGGCATCGCGCAGTTGTGTTTCGGGAGAACTAATTGATCTGACAGGCCGATTGACTCTTGCAGCTAATATATATGCATGCAATCCGAATTTCACAAAGAGATGTGCCCTTGTTTCATGACTGTCAGGTGCAAGACAGATGTCAGCAAGAGAGCCAAACAGTGAAATTGAGATCCAAAGCAGATTTATCGACAACTGCGTCATCAAATGACATCAACTGGTTTTGCCAGGACGCGTTGGACACAACTTGGGAAAGTTCTCGGGTTGGGCATGAAGTAGATTTGGCTACCCGCTTGGTTGGATGGTCTCCTCTGTAACCTGTCCACTTGTGATATACCAACGAGCACGGTCAAGCTCTAAATTACCAGGCGTCTACTCCGCATTCTCCGTGGAGGCAATCCGTAAGCAAGTCTTGGGCTGTCCAGGTAAACTTGTGAAGGAAGCAGAACCTCGGTATGCTTGAGTGTCTCTCTACCTGGCTGTCTGCGGATAAAGTCGAGTGAAAGGACGAAGAGAAAGAGGCTGGGGATAACGCCCTTGTTGTGTTGGTGTGCTCCAGTCTTTTCTCATCATCGCCCGCGCCAAGCGATTGTCAGCCTCTTCCTTTTTCTCATCCCTCGTTAACTATTTAATTATTTTACGGCAGGATTGTGTAGTGACTGCGTAGGCTGTAGCCAACCTGCTCCGAACAGAGCTACAAACCTCAACCTCCACCTCCTCCTCCTCTCTCTCTCTTGCTATTCTGTTGTATTCTTGTATTCATGTTTTCTTGTTTACTTGTTTAGTAACCTTTCATCATACACACATTTATTGTCTCTGGAAGGGGGAATTGTCTCAGGTGCATTTGAAGTGTTTTTCTGCCGGAGCAGACAGACAAACGTCGTTTGTTTGTCAGGCTCCTCTTAGGGTGAGCGACGCACCAACACATAGACTAACATCCAACCTATCAACCTCTCCTCACCCACTTCAACCACTTCAACCACTTTCAACAAACCCCGCTCGCATTTCTGGGGCACCATCGACAGCTGCCAACAGCTGTTGCTCTTGCTGCGGGTCTGTAATTATCTTCAACGGCTAGTTACTGGCTTGCTTAGATGCTTCAACGGCTCTCGACATCATCAACTTGCAGCTGGAGAAGGAAGACAATCTCTGTGACTTCTCCCTCATCCATCCTTGTTCGACTCACATTTAAATTTTACTACACGGCCCCCTCTGCCTAGATCTTGATCCCTTGACCTCACATACCTCCCATATGCCCCTTCTGAGCATGCCATTCCTCGGCTAGCCCTTTTCATGATGGGTGTTAACACCCGCAAACCAATGCTTCCAGCTCCCACCGACTCTTCATTTCTCGATACGACAGGAGGCAGTGCGACTGGTACAGACCTTGCAACAGATCTTTCTCGACGGACCGATAAAACATCATACTCAATCCCGGATGACGGCAGTCCTATTACCATCTCCACGCGCCGTCGATCTCAAAACCGAGACCGGGACGAATCCAAACTTTCCCGAACCTCCCACCAGTCTCAAACCTCTCTTCTAATCGAGTACTTTGAAGGTGGGAAGAAAGGTGGGAGTCTAAATTCTCGACCCAGTGTCAGAGTGAAAGTGACCCCTTCCGCCGCTCGCAAAATCAGAGACCAGAACGACCACATCCAGATTAGTGAGTCAAGCGGAGGAAGAAATCCATCATACACGAGGCGCATTTCCCTGGGGACTCCAACTCCAACTCGAACGAAGGAGATTACTGAGTGTGCTGCGGACGACCTAAGCATCAGTTCAATTGGATCCTTAGCGGAAGATCCTGGCACTGTTCGCCGTCCTCCATTCGAGATTGAGTTCTCGAGGGACAGTGAACTATCGGCTAGGTATATCCAACCAACGTCTGATATTTCCTCCATGCCCCCGGATAGCATGCTGGAAGGCTTAACTACCATACCTCAAGCTCGTCGTCAACGAAGCCATAGTGTAAGCGGAGATGAGGTCCATGAACATCCCCGGTCCTCGGAGATGTTGAAAACCCCCTCGAGGAGGAGAAGCCGCAGTTTAAGCAGGGAAAGGATTGCACATAAAGCGGCAGAGAAACTTACTGCCGTTCCACGAGATGTCACTCGCACCAAAGGCAGACACAAGGAAAAGAATCGGAGTCGAAGTGTGAGCAAAGAAATATCAGAAACCGACAGGAAGTTTTCACATCGACGTTCAGGCAAGCATCGAGACAAAGACTTGGCTAGTGCAGAGTCAAGCATTTTGAGCAACTCCGCACGTTCTCCTCAGTTTAAATCTGGAGACCAATATTCCTTTCGCTCCGGAACATCAAAATCCTCCATCAATAACCCTCGGTTACTGGAAACTGTTGAGGATGCTATTCGACGACTTATCTTACCGGAACTCAAGGAATTGAAAAAGGATCAGAAGGTCCGTGCAAATAGAAACCAATTTGACTATGATACAAATGCCTCTCTCGGTTCGGGAAGCATCGTTTCTAGGGATGAGCTAGGGCGACGTTTGTCTAAACATGCGAGTGCTCCTGATGTTACTAAACCACGTGTGGTAGTCAGCAGTGACAGCAAAGAAACTCCAGTAGTCATTTCAGAAGGATATTCGGGGAGATCCAAGGAATGCAGATGGGAGAAACCACGCGAATCCCAGTATGTCAAGTCGTACACGAGGGGGTTATCAGAGGACTCATACGTATCGGATGAAACCATCCAGCGGAAGAAATCCAAAGGACTCCGCGACGCTGAGGCTGCAGCAATCGTCGGTACAGCCCTGACCACCGCTGCTCTCAAACACCATGACTCGAAATCTAGTCTAGACAAACGGGAACGTAGGAAGAAACGCAACAAGAGTCGAAGTCGAAGTGGAAGCGTCAATGAAACCGAACTGATGTTTCAAAAGCATGGAGTCCCCCCAATGCCTCTACGTAGCGAGATTGATTCCGAATTGACAAGGGAATCGATATTATCCCAGCAGACAACCGGTACTGAAACTCCTGCATGCAGTGAGTTAGCACGCAGAACGCCACACGAAATTGAGTCACCTGTCCCTCAAACACCAACACGAACCCTACGCGGAATGGTGACTGGTTCAAAATCTAATGGGATCTTATCAGCGAAAACTTTCAGTCCCCACAGTCAGTCAAAAAGCACAGAAGTTGACGAGGATTTAACGCCAACCAAGGAAGAAACACGACTTACGGACTATGCGTTTATAAAACCCTTTCACGGACCCCCGGACGAATACACCGCACGTGCTCTTAGCCCAATCCAGAGCGTCGCAAGCTACAGGGAACGGGACTCGGATAGTGGAAAGGAAACGGGTCAACGAGCTGATAGGTCTGGATCAGTAAGTAGGGACATTCCCGAACCAGGTCACAGGCTATCAATCGATTCTCTGTCGTCTGCCCCAAGCACGAATTTGGCTAGATCAACCCGTCCAGCTGACTACGAAGAAAAGAGAGAGGCATTTCTAGCTCAAAAGGACGAGTCTGGGGTGAATATTGGCTACGAAGGAACCCCGCGAACGTCGAAATATGAACCCTGGACAAAGAGCCAGCTCGACGAAAGTGATGAATATAGGCATTCTCTGGGCCAGGATAGTTTGGATGACTTCCGGGATGATAGTTTTGTTGATGATCCGTTTACTCCAGGGCAACAGGTTGCACAAGGAGCTGCTGCAAATGTTCAGTATGTTCACACACCTGTTATGGTTGAGTCTGCCGTAGCCTCACTCCATGATCCATCTGTGGTGGACATTCACTCCACCAAATCTGGTAGGAACTCAGCTGTTGGATCGCCCAGTCAACACCGAAGTGTGAGCCCTGGGTCTATTAACGGAGCGCAGCGAGGTCTGATAGAAGTCGGTCCCGGCAGCCCATTAAAGCAACGACAGAATGTATCGAGCCCCGAAGAGAAATCATTCCAAAAGCGGATGGGGGCGACGTCACCACCTCAGAGTGTGGGGGATTCTTCTGAAGACCGACCACATATGGGAATAACTGGTTTACCAGGAGCGGGAAGCCCCATTCCAGAAATTGGCCATATTCCTGATTCAGAGTCGGAGATAAACACAAACCCCTCAATAATTCAGGGCCCTATTGGTGGGATCCCGAAAGAAGATAGAGATCATTGGCCATACGATGCTACGCCTCCTCGGTCTAAAGGCAATGAAATCCACGAGCCTCATCAGATCCTGGGAGACACGACAAGCCCCATCCAAGGAACAGGTCTAGTTTCCTCATATAGCAACACCAATTTTAATGAGCCCTTCTACGGAGCTGATCATGGAAATGGTTATCCTGATAGCAAGGCTAAACATGGACAAAAAAGAGACGTTTATCCAGACCATTTATTAACTCCTCCAGGAATCAAGGATGAGGGTTATATCTCTGGTGCAAATCCTCGATCGCCCAGCCTCGCCACACCTGAACCCAGAGGTAAGGTATTTGAAGAATTTAATAATGGGATGCCGGGACTTACCAATTTGGACCATGATGACCCGTTAGCGGATACGCACAAACGTTACTTGAGCGGTTACTCTCATGGCATGCCATCCCCTCTTTACGATAGCTCGACTGGCCATGGAATCGATAGGATTCAGTCGAAGGATATTGTCGCGCTTATGGACCATGTACGCATCTCCTTCTACGCTCACCCCCACTTTTTTTTCTTTTGGCAAGTATGCAATTCTGATGCTAACATTTTGTCTAGCTTACTGTTCGTGATGCGCAAAGAAATGCTCGAGATACCGAAATACTCGTCACTCTTGTTCGAAGTGCGGCAGAAATGCGTAATTCCTTCGAGGACATGAAAAAATTCATCGCCCAACAAGATGAAATGCTAATGGATACGAACGAGAAACAACATGATCGTACCCAAAAAATTGTTGGTGGGCCTCGGCCTCAACCCCTGGGCACTCCGCGGACCCCTCGACGTACTGCAACAGATGAAGAGGAAGATATGCGATCAAAAAGGAAAAATGTTTTCAAACGGGCCTTGAAAGGTCTGAGCCTGAAAAGCTCCAACGATCTTACTAGAGTCGAGGACATGCTTGTGCACCTGCTTCTTGAAGTTGAGGCTTTGAGAGCTGCCCAGGAAGGCCGGGCACCAGGAACTGGACCTGTTAGCTCGAGCGAGAATATTCGCGAACCTGGCCAAGATGGATATGAGCCCGAGGGCCAAGCTGGCACGTCATCAACTGGCGGCGACCAGTCAGGTTTCTCAAATTCTCCTCGTTTAACTGGGGATATGAAAGCCGCGAGCACACGCCGCGGATCCGAGCACCGGATCAGTCCAGTTCTTGAAGGCGATGAGGATTTGGAACCGCTAACATCACAAGAGCAAGATTTACTTAATCAACAAAATGCTGTTGAGGCCCAGCTAACAGGACGCCACAGACGAGGTGGCTCCGTCCCACTGGGGACTCCTCCGCGAGTTCATCTTGCATCCGGCGCCTTAAGCACAGATACAACCCCTAAAATGTCCGACGGAAAGTCTCGAAAACACAAATCAAGTAGTTCATCATTTTTCCCTAAAATTTCCCGGTGGTCGAAAACAACAGCTTCTTCTATGGGCGAAAACATCCGCAATAGCATCCAAACCAGTCGAAAAGACAGACAATCTTCGGAGCTATCGCGATCCGGTTCTGATTTGGGACATGACGGATATAATACTGGTGAATATTACGATCACCACGGCGATGATAGGTTGCGCTCCAATACGAGCTTGGAACAGAGACAAGAAAACCGTCCTCCGTCTCCTCTAGTTCCATCGCAACTTTCGGAACATCCGAAGTATCGGGCACATAGGGATAGTTTGAATTTACAACACCCTCAGCCACGTCAGGGACCTACAGGCCGCTATCAATCTCAGCTAGAATCGCAAGCGCAAACATTCGTACCTCCAATTGCCCAGAATTCTGAAGCTTGGGCATCCACCCAGAGCCTGGGTCGAATGACTCCCAATCCAAACGTGCCTGGTTCGGACGGTGGATATTCCGATCTATCAACGACTTCTGCGAAACGAAACGCACCCCCCCGCCCGCCTAAGATTAGAGACGATGGTCCCTTGATTCCTCAAAGACCGCCTAAAGTGAGCGGGGATGGTCAACTCACCTATGCAGAACGCATGGCCTCCCGTGGTTCACACCCCTCAAATTATGATGGTGTACGTCTAATCCGTTCTTGATACTTTCCCACGATTTGCAATGTTGATTAGCTAATCACCAATTTCTTGATATAACTAGACAAATGAATCCCCAATTAGGTCCTCCCCGAAAAATAAAACTCCGCAACGAAAGCCCACTGGGCCCCGCCCTATTACCAGCTCCGGCTCCGGCTCAGGATACCCCAAGAGACCGCAATATCGAGGGAGCCCGCAACAAGTAGACGACGATAACCCTTAAACAGCTTGACCCTATATCTCGATACCCTGTTGCCCTGCTTGATTTCTCTGTTATTTTGTTTTTCTCAATCTTTATTTACAGGTTAACCTCCTGAAGCGTTCGTTATTCTTTAAGTCTGGTTTTTGTCCTTCAAATTCTTTTTAAAAGGGAATAAAGGGCGTGGGAAGGTGTTCATGTGATGTTTGCCCCCCTTTTAATCTGCTCTGTTGTGCTTTATATGAATGATGGCGCTGAAATAGCCTCTCGTCATCTTACTCTTGATATTCACCATGTATCCTTTCCTTTTCTTCTTGTCGTGTTTTAAGTAAGCAGATCTTTTACCATCCCACTCCAAAATGTTCTGGCGCATATCGTACAGAGCTCAATGTGAAATTATTTTCTACTCTCTTTGTTTTCCTTCCGGCTCTTTATTACGCCCAGCCATCTATTTTCTTGACTTTTTATTTGCTGGAAAAGCTTTCATAAACCGAACCTTGAAAATGGCTAGGAGAAATGGGGAAATAAAAAATTCTTTTTCTCTCCTTTTATCTGTGGGCGATATTGAAAATTGGAAGAAAACGAGGTTGCAAATGCAAAGCCATTAAATTCAGGGTGCCACAAATCTTAAGAACAAATCGAAACAGAAGCGGGATGTGTTTGCAACTCTCAATTATGATTTTTGTTCTAGATATAGATAGAGTTGCAGGTATAGGGAATGGTTCTCCCCTAGGCCTTCAAGATGGACAATGTACCAAGTAATGACAAGGCTCATACCAATTATATGCATTTCGTACATGGAGGGACTTAAAAGTAATTGCTTGGATTGATCAGATGGTCTCCATATTGTGCTGCCATTTTCTGTGGGATGATGGTAGTGAGGGCTAAATCCCCTTTTATTGTACAGAAGGTAGAGAACAAGCACATCATTAACTTGATTCCTTTAATTGTGATACTGCATTTTACTAATTTCCACCTCTGTCCTAAAAAACTCATCTCAACGAATGATTTCAATTGGCTTTCATGTAATTTCTTCTCGTATCAAGAAGCTTTTGAAAGATTGACTGGTGGGTGACACCATGCCACAGCGAATCCCCCATGGTCGATCAGCATCAAATACACCCAAGGTATTATTATATATGTTGTTAGTATCTGCAAAAAAAAAAAAAAAAAAAAACCCATTGATCCTTTTCATTTTCAAGACCTGGGCTCCATTTTTCTCTGAATTTGGCGCATGAACGCCTTGCGGATGTGATCTCAAAATGTGTTATTTGCTCCTTGACTGACCGGAGTTCTTTCCCTCTTGCTTTCCTGTGCACAAATAGGAACTGCTCAAGCAATGGCTAAAGACGTCAAATAGAATGAGACAAAGGAAAGAAACATTTACTCGTTTGCTTGAAAATCAGCTGAAATTAGGGAGTAGCCTATCGAAAAAAGTGGCGTTTAATTCGACTCTGGTAAAATGTGGGGTTTACACGGCTGCGGAGTCCAGAGGATGGATAACATCGGGGGAACGAATGAAGAGAGAAGAATAGGAAGACTTTCAACATAAACCGAGCCAAACTGGGGATTTTCTCCATTTGTCTCTCCTTTTTGCTTTTCCATTCTTAGAATACCTCGACGCAACTTAAGGATCATCCCGGTGCTCAGAAAATAGGGCTATTCGCAACCGATGAGACTAGAGAGTGAAAAGCGTTAGTGACAGTTGGATTCTGATGGAGCTAGTTGCCAGTAATGATATCACTTACAATAGGTAGCTTCGGAATAACGACGCCCAGAACTGCCATGAAGTTTATTATAAAGTAGGTCAGGTCGTAGTGGGTATAGTGAGTACTGAGTAAGAAGAGAACAATTGGAACACAGAGCAGAAACTTCTTCGCTGGTGTGTACTGGTCTCCGTTGTCAATTTGCTCCCACATATTTAGGTTGTCATATGCTCCAGCATTGAATTCAAAAGGTACCCCTCGAACCCAGTGAAACATCAGAAACGAGCCAAACATATAACTAATATTTGTGAGGGTCCATGAAGTCTCTTGCGATACGCCTGGAATGATGTCGTAAAAGATCTTGAGAGCAATGATTAATACAAAATGGATCGTCCATGCACCTAAGAATCAGGTTTTTTGAGTTAGCTTGCGTCTGTTCGCAACACAATAGATTGAGCATGTGGCTCATGAGCCTTGGGGTTTCACGAATGAGGAATCCCTGTTACGCAGAGATAAAAAAGGAGTAATTCTCTAACCTTTTGCGTTAACCCAGTTTGCATTCAGGTTGGGTAGGGCAGCTTGATCACTTGTATGCTCTATCGATTCCGGAGGTTCTTGATAGATGATACTACTTGAGCGCCTCCTTCGCCCAGTCGTGGTCTGACTCATAGCGAAATCTGGAGAAAGGGTTGCTGCGGTTTTAGGACCCGTGTCGAGATCGGGGGGAAAGGAAACAGTCCGAGGAATCAGAAGGGAAGACAGTTTGGCGGTATTGATCTGAACTGTTTGCAAAAATAGGAGTTAAATGTGGTGTGTGAGGAGACGTTCTAGGGAGAGGGAAGAGCTTCGTTGTCTCGATTTGTTCTTAGTCCTGCTAACAACTGTTGCCTTGGGGAATGTCGAAGACCTGGGCTCAAATGTCGGGCAAGTAATGCGGCGGGGTATATAACTTGTAAACTGAGAACTGAGAAAGTATTTGTAGAGAGGAGAAGACCACTGAAAATAGTATATTTGCAGAAATGACATAAAGAGACGTCGGGAAATGGGGAGGAAGAAGGAGAAATTGATTAGTTATATATAGGCGCAGGAGACGTCACGAAAGACGTAGCCCTCGACTGAATTCGACGGATCCAGAGGAAGTGTAATGGTAGAACAAAAGAAGCCAGAATGGCACAAAAGGAAACCCAGAAGGCTATAGACAGAGAACAACCTGACTGTCTGGGTTATTGTAGAGGAAATAAGAGCAAACATGGAACGTTGAACGTTGAAGTTGAAGATTGCCGAGTGCGGCTCAAAGGTTTGTCGTTTTCGTTACATCCTTTGACTGAGTTATTACGTAAGACGCTAACGACAAACGTGACCCGAACCTTGAGCTCGATTTTTGTTGTTTCAAGCAAGTTCTGAACTCCAACCAAACTCGAACATATTCAGGTCAACGAAGGTACTCTACAACGCATTCCTAGGTAGTTCACCTGGTCCCCTCGTTTCGGTTTTACACACATGCCTATTCGGCCGCGTCTGTCTGATTAGCATCTTTAGCCCCCATGCGCCTGGCTGGCGAACACTGGAGCTTGCCGTGAGAAATGTCTGATGAGGATGTTGCTTGTGACTCGCGAACTGCATCTGTTGGTTTGCGGGCCCGCAACAAGGACACGTCCTCTGGGTCTCAAGGAACATTTCCGATACGATCCGCTGACAAACGCCGTTCAAGGAAGAATCACACCCTAGATAGTCGCGAGACTCAAGACTTTGTCCCTAAGGGTACTTTATTTACCTCAACATCGTTAGCAGTTTATAGTGCTTCTAGTTCGAGCCCTGACACGAACACAGAGAACAGCTGTGACACTGCATCTGCAGATCGTGTCTCTTCACCCATTTCGCGCCCCCTGTCACGAGGAGGAGCACCCTCAATGAATTGGAACAAGCTCAGCAAAGGGACGGTCAGGACCGCCCTTCGTGGGCGCCGTCAAACAGAAGCCTCCAGCACAGCTGCTACATCTTCATTTGAGACCTCATTTGAGACTGTTAATGGGAAATACTGGCGTAATCGAAGTACGTCTGCTTCATCCAGAGGGAGTGGTGGTGATCAGAGTCATCTAATGCGGAACCAAGACCAAAACGATTCGGAAAATAGTGCTTCTTGGAATAAGCTTCAAGCTGAAACAAGCAGAGGCCAAACGACTTACTCCGCAGAGTTCTCTGATATGGAGTCTGGCGAGGACACACATGAAGATAATGATATTGTTCTCAACCTGAGCGGCCCAGTCAAAGAAGAAGCGGCTCAGGAGACGAGAGGTTGGACTTCGGATGTCCAGGGAAATGACCTGCCTCGTGAAGATAGCAGCGTGCTGGGAGCTCGATATCCTAGTGGAGAGGGATTCGGCGAAACTATTGGCTCCGAAATAAATGTCAAGGTTGGAGACAGAATCTTAGTAACTCCTCTTCACGCTGAAGCCCGCGAGGAGAAACTCCTGTCTGAAGCCCCAAAGGCTGAGGCGATCCGGTTATTTCGTGCCAGATACCATTCAGATCCTATTACACTTGCTGATCTCACTCGTAATGATCTGGAGATTCAGGCTAGGTATATATTTTTTGATATGCCGCCAGAGGACCTTGACCTTAGGTTACCAGTAAGGTGCACCGAATGCATGAAGGAAGGCCACCTGGCAGACATTTGCCCGAGTAAGGAGGTATGTTCCCCACGGCAACCTTCCCCTCCAAATCTCCATAGCGCAGCTATCCTTGCGCCTGAGCGCGCCAGGGAAAACTACTCTTAGTTAAGTCTGACACTGAACACAGTGTGAACATTGCGGAGCATGGTCTGTTCATGAAAGCCGTTTTTGTCCTTCTTGGCGGAGATGCCAACGTTGCAGGGAACGTGGTCATGACGCAGTATATTGTCATTCCCCTCTCAAAGGATCCGCTACAGAACAGCCATGTGATTTTTGCAGCTCTAAGGAGCACACTGAGGACGACTGTGACTTGCTTTGGAAGTTGCCTAAACGAACTCCAACCTCTGGCCGCATATTTATCTCTATATCTTGTGGCTACTGCACAAGTAATCGCCATTTGATTGGGGATTGCCCCATGCGCGACTACCCAATGGACTCATCATCTTTCAGCCTTAAACATTATGATCCGTCCATGTTTTCCAATCTGAACTCTTTCCATGATGTCATTTATGGCAAGGGAAATAAAAACCAGGGTTCGTCTGGGCACAAGGTTAGAGGCCGTGCTGACGGGCGGTTACCGTCACCTGAAAGTGATGGAGCTTTCGGACGGCCGGATAATTGGAAACCCTTAACCCGCTCCCCACCACGCAGTCGCATTCGTTTCAGCAATGGAATTGGACGTGGGAGGAATCTTGATGATGATAAGCGATGCCCCCAAGTTTCCGAAAACGGTTCATATAACACCAACGATTATCGCCGTGGATATAGAGATAGGGATCAGTATCACGATAGCAGTACACGCCAACGCTCTCTCTCGCCTAATCGGTCCTTACCACGACAGATGTGCCGGAGTAGTAATTGGCATTCAAGGAATAGATCTCACTCTCTGTCGCCGCCAAGGTCCCCGCCACGCCCACGAAGGCCACCTCCTCAACAAACAGATGGTCGTGGGAAGGGTAGAGGTGGTGGTGGTCCCCGAAGCCGGGAAAGAGGAGTCAAAGGCGGTTCAAATAGGGAGACATACCGACACGTGCCTAGTGCGGCTAAGAAGGCGTGGGAACAACATAGATTTTGAAACAATTGAGTTGTGAATTCACTTTTCTCATGATGGTTGGTGACGGCAACTTGGCGTTTCCGAAAAAACTGGAGGCTTTGTTATTCCTTTCTTTTCTGTTGAGATACCTCTTAACAACCATGTGGGTTTGTGTTTGGAATATATGGAATGAATGTATACTAGTGTATAATACCTGTATACATAATCTCTTCTAGTTTCGACTGCTGTATTTTTAAAAACAAAGAAACGTATCCGGCTGTTCGACCATTCTATCCCCCGACTTTACTTTCTCGATATTTTATGTGCTGATCTTGTATCAGCGGTTATGAATATTGAATTTAACAGGGTTGATGGTTTATCTCTATCTAACCAGTCACTCGGAACTGAGATGCAGGGTTCTATATTCAGGGTAAATATTTTCAAAATATAGTCACACCTCCATTTTCGTTCTTGGTACTAATTTTCCTTGGGTTCCGCAACGCCATTCTCCAAGATTGAGATCAGCTCGTCTAGGCGCCGGATACAGAAATGGGAATGGTCGTGGTCTCTCAGGGATTGGTTTTGGTCATTGAGAAGCAGGACAGTGGCGGCGCCTGCCAAGTGGCCCGCAGTCATGTCGTCGAGGCTGTCTCCGACCTATATAGAGAGATTTCCAAATTAAAATTTACAATATCAATCTTCTTGATACGACGAATGGGTTTGAGAGTATAAACGAAAGGGGTGGTAGGCAGAGGGGGGGGGGGGGTGTGAAGAAGTAGATGACGAGATTAATCGGACTTACCATGATTAAATCCTCAGCGTTGGTTCCCCATTCCTTTGCTATATGTAAAATACCCGCTGGATCTGGCTTGGGGAGCAAGTCCGGGGTATCACGGGTGATGATAGGGGAAAACTGATGGGTTGGGAGGTGGGTTGTGAGAAGATGTTCTACGGGTGTTCTATTGAAGGCGTAAGCAAGCAGCAGCTATCACTTGAGAGGGGGATGAATAGCCTATTGGTTTTCGGTAGAGCAAACACCCTTGAACGACCGCATAGCCGTAGCAATTGAGGGGATATTAAGGGGAAGGGGGCATGGTATGAGAGTTGGTTGAGACAAGTCACCTACACGAAATTCCGTGTGCATAACGCCCGTTTCAACCCCTTTGAATGGAGATAATCCATCAGTTCTACAAGACCCGGCTGAGGCACTTGCTTGACCATAGCTTCCCGCTCGATCTCCCTGACTTTCGTGATGGCAGCAGTGCGGTCCTTTAATGTTGGCAAGCGGCGGATGTGCCCGATGATATCAACTGATTTATCAATTCCTAACCAAGAGCTGAAAAGGGACGTCGTCTGTCACTTAGGGAACTCTCGATATATTTTTGAAATGGATAGTTATGAATCCTACCGCATTTCTTGGAACATGTAATTCTGCGGTAGACTAATGTTGGTCAGACTCTAAATGGGGGGTCTCAGGCCACGGATTGATATCAACGAAAACCTCCCATTTTTGCTACTTCGATTTTGGATGAAGGTATTAAAGAAGACTGGAGAAATTTATATAAATACCATAGTGTCCCATCCACATCAAATACAATGCCCCGCAAAGTCGACTTCTGGCCATCTATACCTGGCTCAGGATGGAGCGGGGAGAACCTCCATGTTCGTAATGAGGAGCCACCAACATTAGACATGGCGCGGAAAAGGAGCATTAAATGAGAAACAAAAGTAAGAAAGAAAGAAAAGAAAAGAAAAGAAAAGAAAAAGACAACAAAAAATAAGAGAAAGAAAATCCTAGTTTCAGGAATACAGTTTTAAAAGAAGGGGGAGAGGTCTTGATTGTATGTGCATCCAGCAAGGCATCGTCCAAACGGATGAAATTAACACCGAAGAGACGGGATCGATGCGCTCGCTGAAGCTGTTGGTCGGGGCTTGGACAAAGTAAGCCAACTTTAGTCTAGCTTTCGATGACCTAACGCCGTAAGCGCCAAATCACCCGCCAATCCGAGGATATGCACCCGCGTCAACGAGTGGCATTGAACATGTGTGTTCGCAACTATAACTCAATATGAAGACTCGAAAGGAGGCTCCAGGAGAGGGGCCAGCTCCAAAATACCGACCCGCTAAGTCTGTCCCCTTCCAGTTACACATGCACTGCACCATCTACTTCGAAGAAAAGCTTTGTGAGCACCCTAATCCTACTTCTGACCTACCCCTAAGGGGGGCGATCTCAGCTAGAAAACATAGTTGCGAGTAACTAACAGAACATGTATTCTCGCAAGTTCACCAAGCTCTTCATCTCCTTCTAAGTCTTCTCTCGTCAAATACCATTGCATCGGGCCCCGCATTAATACCGTCGCCTCAACACCTTGCCGTTGCAGCTACTCTCATCGTCCACCCTTCCACAACAACTCGAGTAAAGTCACTGGAGAGTGTTCAGGTTGCAAATACTGCTTTAGAGCTCTTACGTCTTACGAATAAACTGGTAGGGCCATTAGCTGCAAAATTCGACATTGCCTTTGCTTTTACGCGGTTCTCATCGTCGCGAAATGGGCGCCAGCGACGCGGAGATGGTCATAACGACTCTGCAAACGATTCATCCTCAGATTTTGATACGGTCCCGATGAGGATGGATATTGCTCGAGGTGGGTCTCTTTGGTTTCGATCTGAGGACTTTTGGCATGCTGTAGGGTGGGCGTTTAATTGCGCCGTTCTCTTTCCGAAACGATGGTCGAGATGGCGTGTCTGGTTGGAATTCATGTGTGACGTATTGGAAGACGACTGGACGGAGAGAGAAAGACTGGCCAGCAATTCAAGTGATGGGATGGCAACACCGACTGCTGGCCATGCTCTCCTCCGTGATAGTCTCATTTTCAAGTATATCTCAGGCTCATCAGGAGTATCTGGCCACCATCGAAGAATTATGCGAGCTGTCTTTGCGGACGGGAAACCGCCGTCGTTAAACGAGTTCAAGGAGGTGTTTCGGAACGAACTAAAGGAGCCCGAAAAGGGTAAGGATAATCTGAAACGACGTGAGGCTGATGTGAATGTCGACGAAGATGAATTCGGAGACTACCTCTCAAAGGACGAGGATGATGATGCTGAGGAAGAAGACAACGACTCATACACGACGACGAGAGAAACTCAGCCTTCTCGGCCAAAACGCCCGAGAACTAGAGCACCAGAATTTTCTTTGATCTCGACTGACGATCTTAATATGGATCCTTCGTACAGCGGTTCGGGCGCGGGGCATTCTGGCAATGTCTCGCAGCTCGGCGACCTCGCTTCACTCGCTCTCAGGCAGCGCCTTATGCAGCTCTTGTCCCGAGTCTCCAACTCTCTCGGGAAGCTTTACATGGAATTGGATAAACTCTATCTTCTCTTCGTGGAATTCGTCCGTTCGCTGGACCTTCCTACCTTTCAGCTCTTAGTATCATCGCCGATGTTGTCGAGCTTCACAGATGACGCACGAACTACCCTGTGCGAGATGATCCTTCTTCGTTTACTAGACAACAATCCTGGTTCGATGGAGCAGTACCTGAGCCAGGCTAAGTTGGAGACCTGTTTTCTTCCCTACGCGGCTTATACGAATAGTTCCGTCGACAATGCGAAAGTTTCGATATTACTTGAGACCACCCTACGACTCTTAGCCTCCAATGGCATGTTGCATGTTCGTCCCTCTTTGCAAAGGGCAATCGAAGAAGGAATTGTGGCCAGAAGTGAGAAATGCCAGACCGACACCAGGAAGAGCCAAGGTAAACAGAAAATGGAAGAATCTGGCTGGATTTGGCTCGTTGAAAGTGGCGAAAGAATGCATTATCTGGTGAACAAAGTAATGTCGAAGGAAAACGAAGGAAAGAGGACGTGAATTTAATACACTATTTGGTATTAGGCTTCTCCCTCTACTTTTCTCTGGGCGATTTTTGGAATATTCAGCTTTCCCTCTGGTATTTGCACCGAAGCCACCTTGTATCTGACTAACATACCTTTCCCTAACTAATACCTTCATTTCGTCACCATTCAAAACAGGCAATCAGAAGGTCATGGTTTTGGACTGAGATATCGGTGAAAGGAGGAAGAGCAGGATATGCCTTTGTCGAATTGCCAAAGAATCTTTATCCCGTTGTTTTACACCCCATCCTCCCATCAGATTCAATCGTTGGTGTATTTTAGCACCACATGTATCCTCTTTTCTATCACATAGGAAGTGGAAAATGGTTTATCACACAACCGTACTTCAACTACTTACTAAGCAGGGTCGTTGCCCAACTCTGCCTCTCTCGCGTCGCTGCTTCGACGGTGATGGTCGGCGAACTTTGGTGATCTGGGGTGAAGGATTCACTAGTGGGAAATAATTCATTTAGCAACAGCAGGAGGTACGTAAAACCAAGATCATAGTCTGCTTGATCATTAACCCCTTTACGTCTTCAACCCTAGGGTTCATGGCAAGACCACAACCTGTTCTGATATCTCCATATTGAAGTGACTCCCACGGGTCTTGACAGAGCGGAATGTCGTGCGATGTCCGCGCCCAGCAGATCAAGGGGCAACAGAGGGATGTACAAGCCACAAAGCTTGCTGAAGGCGCAAAGTCTCCTGACTTTACTCCTGTACCAACGGGAGAGGGGAGGTGGTAAAAATGTTGTGGCGAGAAGCCTGATAAACATATATTTAATGTATTGTCCAAAACTTATAAAAGTCAGTAAAATGTAGCAGATGGCTTAAGCAAGGCTAAATCCCCTGCTATCTTTTATTCGGTTTACGCAGGTAGATACACATATATATATACTTTCCAAAAACATCAGCAAAGGCCGTAAACCTCGACTTCTTCACTATTATGCTCTTGCAGCACCGTTGTGGATCTGTGACAGGTCTATCATCTGATTTCTTTTCTCCTTTCCTTCCCCATTTATATTTGATGATATTTCTTTGACTTCTCTTCTCCGTTTGTTTACAGGCCTCTCTTCTAGATTTGGGTTTTGACATTGTGTCGTTATTCTCTTTGGCTTGCTCTATTTTACAGATGAAATGTAAAATTTTATCCTTAAAATCAACTAACGTTGTGCCACGGATGTAATGGTAGCATAGTATGTATATATTTGGATGAACGATAAAATGCGTTCTTTATTCGATCACCGCTAGTTTGGGGTCTCAGATATACGAGTTTTTGAGCTTGCCCAAGCGTCATACTCTGGACTGTTGGGGTAATCGATATAACCAACGGTAGACTTCGGGGTATAGAACTTTTCACGATCGTATGGGGTGAGATCTATATTATTGAAGATGCGGAACGCCAGATCTGGGTTCGGAATGAAGTGACGGCCAAACGCAATGGCAATGCGCTGGTTCTTATGGCTCTTGACAGCTTCTTTGGCCGACTGCGGAGAGAATCCTCCGGCCAGAATTACCGCCCCAGCACCGTCGAACACATCAACAAGAAATTCTATGCTCTCTGGTGGTTCTTCAACAGTGTACGATCCCGAGACCCGGGATTCTACCACGTGCAAATATGCCAATCCTATCTTCGCTAGATTCTGAACCAGGTGGGTGAACTGTGGCCGGGGGTCTGCCATCCTCATATCTTGAAACCGACTCCAGGGGCTAATCCGATACGCAGACTTGTCACTTCCGATGGCTGCTGCAACTGCTTTAGCCACTTCGAGGCCGAATCTTGATCGATTCTCAATGCTTCCTCCCCAACGGTCATTGCGGTTGTTGCAAACATCCTGTGAGAACTGATCGCAAAGGTATCCATTCGCCCCGTGAATCTCAACCCCGTCGAATCCAGCCTCGACAGCATTCTTTGCTGCTTGAACGTAGTCCCCGATGAACTCTTGGATGCCCTTTTCGTCTAATGGCTCGGGGACAGCGTGTTTCTCGGAAATCGGCAGGTTACCGCTCGAGACCACAGGATAGCCTTCAGAAGCGAGGACCTCAGGTTTTGCTGCCCGGCCCAAAGCCCACAGTTGGCAGAAAATAAAACAGCCCTTGGCATGGACTGCATCGGTAACCTCTTTCCACGCTTTGATTTGCAAATCATTATATATGCCGGGAACATTGTTAAATCCTCCTGCACGGGGAGAAATAAATGTGGCTTCCGTGATCAACAGTGTGCCTGGGACACAAGCTCGCTGTGCGTAGTAATCTTTGACGAATGGAAGGGGGATATGATCATCATCCGCTCGATATCTCGTTAATGGAGCCAAAACTACCCGATGCGCCAAGGTAAGGTTGCCAACTCGGATTGGACTTTGGATTTCCGCCATTGGATGGATAGAGTAAAGTAGCGGGATACAGTGACAAACTTAGAAATTTTTATTCCGGAAGCTCTGAATATTTTAAATATCTCGCTGGGCTCCGCACTGTACAGGTAACCCTTATAAATGACAATATACGCTGTGTTTGATAACAGTGCAATGGTCATCAATCGCTATACCTGATATTGTGATGTAAAAACCACCTCCACACGGATGAGACAATTGGGTTGTCATGATGTAAGAAATGTTGAATATAGGTTTCTTGGTGCTTTAGTGATCCCCTTGGGCCGAAGTGGTTTAATATCAAGAGCCAAACCCGTAGATCCATGGATAAGTTAAAAAGTCAGTTGGTGCGGAAAATGTTCGCCGGCGCTCGGTTATCTGAGCCATTGCCCGGCAAGTTCATTATCTCCTTGATCCTTGCATTAACCGTATGAAAGCGCTCTCAGGGATCTACGCTAGATGGAAATGTTTCATGCATTGCGTTTGCAGAAATTGGCCATATCCTAACAGCGGAGAAATGATGACAAACTATCAAACCATAACTAGTTATTTCGTGGCGCAGTCCAAATTGAACGACCAGGAACCAAGGACGCATGAAAGGGTCCCGTTTAATAAGAACGTTTGACAGATCAAGGGCCTCGAAACACAACCGGAGCTGCTTGTCCCAACACCAGTTAGATCAGAAGCTGGAAACAACGTCAATCTCTTGCGTACCTCGGGAGCTAATTACCACTTGCAACACGGATCGCAATGATAATATCCATATATACACATAGCGGAGTGATCGCCAATAGCCCTCTAGCCCGTTCTGCGTAACTAACTGTTCAGAAATGTCGATCTTGTTTGAACTAGCTGCAATTGGCACGCTGAGTTCTAGTTGCAAGGCTCATGCGTATGAAATGACAATACTAGGGCACGATTCAGGTCAAGAGGAATGCTCCCCGCCCAAGGATCCAGCATTTAACAATTCCGGATGTCCTCAAATCCGGAATGTCAACGTCTAATTTCCTAGAACTCCTTGTGTCTTTGTTCTCATTTGCATCGTACGGATCCAACTCAGCCAGTGCTAAGGGCCTAGTTGAAGTGACTGGTTGGAATATCCTCATTCTTACCGTATACCACAACCGCACCGGCCTGCATCGCAGGATTTCTAGCGTACGGGAACTCGTGTCATTACAAACCTGATCTCAAACTTCTGCGCACTGCCAAGTCAAGTTGAGACTATCAAGGGCTGTGAGCCATCGTTGACTCCGTCAGTCGATAAGACTGCTAATTTGCTGGGAGTGCTAATGACGACGGAGAGGCCCGTACGGCACAGGTTTACTTGCTGGAGTGAATGAAATCTGTCTCCCCATACATAGTCAATCTACTTAGGTAGCCTGAATGTCATTGTATCGGCACCAGAGCGTACGTGGGCGGCATTCAGACGAGAGCCTGTTTCCACCCCCGATGCTCGATTTCAACTCCGGACCAATTTTGACACAATCCGCGGCAGTCAGCCCTTGACTGCCAGTTAATTGAGATGTTTGGAGCGGCTTCCTCTGTTCCATTTTGTCTGTGAAAATATCCAGGGGGTGAGAAGGGGAGATATTTACTTATTTTGCCTCTGGTGTCAAACGTGAGGTGAGTAAATAGGGAATAGTTAGTTGACTTGCAAGCTCGGTGTGAGCTCTCGGTTCCTACGCGTTGACTCTGTCAACGATTCTTCATACTAACATCTCTACGAGTTAATAATTTATCAGCCGTTTACTCTCAGCAATTGAATTTCCCGAACACCATTAATAACTCCTCTCTTATCATCTTCTTAACCATCACCTAGCTTAATTTACCTCGGAGAACCGCAAGGATAAATTCAGGACGGCATGAAGTGTGACATTGGTCACACGCTGAGATCACTATTAGGAGATATGAATTTAACCAATACGGCTAGAAGATTAGACTCTAAAAGGAATAAATTGCCTGCCTTATCAAACAGGCGGTCGCTCATAAGAGAAAAAGGCTCTGTTCTACTACCCCTGAATACTGCCTTGGCTGTAACAGACATCATCTATAGCATTGAGGTATTCTGCGTATCATGCATCTAACGGGACTTCTTTCTTAGTAGTAAAAGAAAAGAAAAGAAGGAAAGAAACCAGGTATGCATAGTATCTTTGTCCGTTATAAGGAAGTGGGGTGTTGCAATTCTCTGGGATGCGAAGCAGGAACGGAATGAAATGAAGGGTTAAGTACCCAAGGGTAAGTAAATGTTTATATAAAAAAGAGAAGAAAATGGTGCATAGATATATAAATTCAGAACGTACTCCCTCTATAGTCAAATTAGCATTTGCGGATCGGATGTTAGTAGAAGAAGATATGAAGGCAAATGTAAAATAAACTAAATCAACAAGAATTATTCATTTAATGTTCTAAAATCTCTTTAAACAAAACAAACTCAAGAGAAAAGAAAGAAAAGAAAAGAACAGAGAAGAAAAAAGAAAGAAAGAAAGAAAGAAAGAAAGAAAGAAAGGAAAAAGAAATAGCTACGCGAGGTTGTCAGTCAACATCGAGTAAAAGTAGCACTGGTGATTGACGTATATGTTTGAGGGCGGTTTATGACGCTTCCATAATCTTCAGCAATAGGAAATTGAAAAAATTCAAGGAGGTGGACGGGGTCCAATTATTTGTCTTCGTGCACCTCCAAACAGTCCAGGTCCACCCCGATTCTGATTATCTCCGCCCATATAGCCATATTGGTTGACATCCCACGCACCCTGCCCAGGCCCTGTGCCCGCAGTATTAACCCCTCGCTCCACGGCCTCCTTTGTCTGTTTCTGGCTCTCTTCCCACTCTCGCTGTCGTTCGCGTTCTCGTTCCATTTCGCGCTCAAGCAGCGACTTGGACGCCCAGCCTCCGGCTCGTGTCTTTTGAGTTGAAGCAAGCCGTCTGGCATTCTCCTCATCAACTTCTGAGCTTGATGAAAATTCAAGGGGTCTGTGAGACGCTGGGCGGGGAGGTTCAGGGGCCCTGTTTTCAGCTAAGAAGCGGTCAATTCGGTTTCGATTGACGTAGCTTGTCGGATCAGGTAGAGGGCGAGGCGCAGGCGAGGGATTCGTATTTCTCGGCGGTTTCGCCGGTGGCTCGGGGAGAGAGCGTGGAGGTAACGCAGGTGGAGAAGGTTCGCTGGAGGGAGCTCTGTCGTTATAAGACTGCCATTCGGATCTAAGCAATTTGCGTTCTTCCTCCAGGGAAGATGCGTCGTAGCTTGGCTTGACCAGAGTGTGTCGTTCACGGCTGCGGCTCCGGGATCGGTCTGTCTGCGGATCCACCCCTTCCTGCTGCGTGCTACGCGAACGAGCAAGTTCCTCCCGCTCACGCTCATACCGACGCTCTCTTTCCTTGGCGAGTTCAAGCTCCCTTTCAAGTTGTTTTATGCGCTCACTCTCATTTGATGCCGAAACGGATGTCTTGAACTGCGATGCTTGATACTGACTGAGGAATTGGCCATTCAGCCGGGCGTCACTAAGTTCCTTCTTCCACAGCCGTTCGTTTTCCAGTCGCTCTTCCGCTGCTTTGTCCTCCAGGCGTCGACGATTGTCTTCTTCATCCCACCTGCGCTGCTCTTCCGCCCATCTTTTCTTCTCTTCTTCCACCTCTCGCCGCTCTCGCTCTTTTAGTTTCAGCGTCTCTTCCTGCCACCTAGATTCCTCTTCAGCCCTAGCACACTCTTCTTCTGCTTTTAACTCTGCTTGTCGTTGGCGCTCCTCCTCTTCGCGCTGTTGCCTTAATTTTTCTTCTTCGGCCTCTCTTTCTCGTCTTTTCCTCTCTTTCTCCGCCAAGGTGGGCACATCTGGGGCCGGACTGATGATTTGTCGCCTTGCACCAAAGGATATTCCGAGGTTGCCTTGGTTTGCGCCTCCCATGTAGCCATATTGATGGATATTCCACGCTGGCGTCGTGGTGCTTTCCTCTTCTTTATTGGTCCAAGCACTAACAGCATGTTTTGGCGACGCAGACCCAGAGTGGGTTTTCGAGGGGCTGTTCTGTCCAGAGGCAGAAAGCCTTCCAATCGGATTAAACGTGCCAGTGTTCGCCTCGTTTGCGTTACCAACACCCCTCCCTCGAGTGTAACATGGCAATCCAAGGCTGGTACCTTGACTAGACCCAGTGAGTTGAGGACTCATTACATCGCCCCTATTCTTCATGCCAATTGATCGTGGGAACCTCCCTGGTTGAAGTGCGTTGGCTCTCCTGCTAAAGGCCCGTAAACATTGGAGCACCTGAGCTGGATCCTTCGATTCGTAGAGATCCACAGTGAGAAAGACGTCGTGCGGTTGGAGGCTCAAAGGGGGGACTTGACATGCATGTAGAAAATGAGATATGTTCTCCATTTGAACGAAAGGCATGTTCGAGTCCCTGTATTTGACACCTGGAGACACGGAGAGGTTGATAAGACTTAGAGGAGGAAGTTCTGTTAGTAGAAAGCCCGGAAAAAATCCCCCAGAGGGTAGGTTTTTACGGTAAACTTGCCGACATAGGATAACTCCACTCTTCAGAAGTCCTAGTAGGTCTCCCTTTGGTAACTTCTCATGAAGCACCTCCTCAATCCACTCCTGTATTTCATTGGCTGCCTGGGGAGTATACCGAGAGAGCCGCATACTTCGCAGATCCTTATCCAACGACGAAACAGACGCCATGACGAATCCTTAGGGTCTTCTGCGCTGTAAAAGAGCTCGCGACGAAGATAGAATTACCCAGTCGACCCAGGCAATATAGCGTGGACAGTATGTGAAGTGCGGCGGATCCTCAACAGACACATCCACGCTACGGAAATAAATGAATTGCGCGCTACGAGCTTATATCATATGAAGTGAAAAACTAATATATTCTTGAATTGTAGGAGACTGGCCATGATCGCGCACCGGTTGATGGAGTGTTGCCCTTTACTTTGTTGTCTCTAAGGCGAAGTTGATGAGGGGACGCGGGCTTCGTTACGCTAGATAAATGAATGACGACGTGGGTGGAGTTTTTAGGTTGGTGGTGATGCCATCAGCGCGACACCGCCACCAATAGTTACTCGTTAACTGGTTTGGCGACGAATTTTGTGCACGTTAGACCACCAGAGCCTTTGATTTCCCCACCACTTGTTCATGCAATAAATACCTGGATCCATATAAGTGTTCGATATCAGGAATATGCATGGAGTATGTTGCGACTAGATCATTAATATGAGCCCTATAAATAGCCTCTGGTTCAAGTGGAAAAGCCTGAAGCTTCCCTGGCGCAGGACCTTTCTTGCAGGTAGTTATTTACCCCAAGCACTTTACGAGAGACCAGCTCCTTGACAGCTGTTTTATTGAGAGATAGGGGACTCTTCTGATAATTCACAGGAAGTGATCTGGCGGGAAACACTTTTTGGGAGTTTAAGGATGCTCTCAATGCAAAACGACTCCGGCGCATTGTGAAATTCAATCCGAAAACGCACCTTGCTGATGTGAAGGTCTCCCGTAGGTCTAACCTCCATCTCATTCTAAACTCCACATCAAGTGTATTCTTTACAACTCGACAAAATATCAGCTTGACTATGGATACACCCGCTAATTTTCATGGAAATGCCAGCACAATGGCATCAATGGCTTCGGCATGTTCGGGAAGAACCACCAACGATACAAGAGCAGCAAAACGATCTCCTCCGTCAAGAACGCATGAAATATCTCGCCAGACTCGCAGATGAGCGATGGGCTAGCAAGCCGTCATTCTTTGATAGGCCACAGGAACATCAGTTGGGCCCTGCGGTGCAATCCTCCCAAGAGTTACATCACTCTAACGCCTCCCCACCTAACAGAACGGAAACCGTGCGCGGCCCAAATGAGTCAGGGGCGGAGTTTAAAAATCAAGAAGAAGGAAAGGAGAAGGCCCCTTGGGTGCGACAAACCGGTGGGCCAAGCGAGCAGTGGCAGCCTGAATCGTGGACACCAACTTTGAAGGGCAGATAGAGGAGGGTGATGCTTGGATGGCAGGTTAACTGCTATCGTGATGCTTGGGCCTGGGCTGGAAGTGGACTCTTTTTTGCGAAGGATGACCATTTCCAGTTGTCATTGATGCCTGATGTGGATTTGCTCCACGCAGTGCTTCAGCCAAATGTTTTGACCCAATTATCTCGCAATTCCACTTTTGCATATTTGGGCAACATCCCTGTGGCACACAGCAACGACGTGCTAAAATGGATATTACGATGCACGTTTCGAAACGTAAAAGATGTCCGAGCAATGGTGCATCACATTTTACCCAGCTATGCCATTTTTCTCCCCAATATCAATTTGGAGGTTCTTTTAACCGTTTAGCGATGGATAGGAAATATGGCGTCGGATAAGGTGAAATTAGCTGCCTCTTTTTTCTTGGGTATCTCTCACAATGCATATTAATCCCTGTACATTAACTAATGATAACTCGGTATCAAAAAGCAGTCTTACTATTCGATGCTCTCTTGCAGTAATGTTATTGAAGCTCTCGACAAGTGAGAGCGATTCACGCTAGCTACTGGATACGTTTCCCTCAATTACCAGAGATACGCATCTGCAATATAAAATTTGTTGGTTTTTTTTTTTTTTTTTTTTTTTTTTTTTTTTTTTTCAAACTGACATGCAAGGCTGTCATCATCCATGCATTATTTACCAAAATAAAAAGATAGATACAACTCCACAAGCCTTGTAAGATCGGTGTATCTTCCGCGGCGTGTTATGTTACCACCCATCTTCTAACTAGAAAACAGCGGCAACAACAATGTCAACAATTCGTGACAGATTAACACCAATAACAATTCCTGAATCTAGGTACTGTGTGTGCATTTCGTGCATTGCCTGACAGATATTGGCAAGTTGGGTTGTATACCCACCCGGAATTCTCGAAACACGCCGTTAATTTTATGCACAGCGGAAGTACCCCAGTGCGTGAAATGAGCCTGACGTGCAGGGAAAGAAAAGGGGTTATATAATTGTCTCCAAGACTTCAGCTATCCATGTTGTTATGTGGTTCCAAAGCGGCGAGTCGCATGTGGATCCGGCGAGTAACGGACTGTATGTGGGCGGTCTTACGGTTGCATGTTTCAATAATGCAGGACCATGTGTAACCGTGGCGGAAACCGGGGGAAGAAGAGAAAAAGAAAGAGTTGCTTCGGACAACTTGGTTGGTTCAGCGGTTAGTTATTCGGGGTTGATTTCATATTTTGTGATATTTGTTCATCTGTCTATTGAATATTACGTGCTATCCATGGGTGTTCAGATGGCTCCGTTAAAGGATCCAGTGCTTCATTGAATAAAGGGGAGCATCCAGGGGAGCTTTGACATGAGACATCAAATCTCTCTATCTCTTGACAACCCTCGTAAAAATTTGACCGAGCATTCAAAACAGGTGTGATGTCACAACTAACCTTATATCTTTTCTGTTTACTAGCTGCTGACCTCCTTTCCTTTCATAAATCAAGTTCTTATATCCCTCTGTATCAGGCCGAGTTTGAATGTTGACAGAAAATTTAGACACACTCTCATTCAATTGAATGACAATTTACAGCTGGAGGCCGGTGGAGATTTAAGGTGTGAGAACCTGTCAACATCCTCTGAGGTGGCCATTATAATCCAGGATTCCTCCAGCGACAGGCATGTACAACCTCATTCAATTGCCTTGATTCCGCGACAGCATGAGCGGGCATTCTCTTCTTACATTTCAGAGTAAAAGTATTTGTTTAGTTTATTTTCTATAAGTATCTCCAATATTAGACTGTTTTTCTCTGTTTTTCTTTTGCAGTCAGCTAATAAACTATGATTCATGGCTTCTTTGATGATATCTTGGACTTCTGATGACTTTATATATAGATATATTTCTATTTCTATCGCTACTTTTATTGCAAAATAATAATCTAACTACTACAAATCTACATTTATATAAAAACAGCTGGCTGGAAGCTGTAATATTTCATTCCCCCTTCACTACAGCTATATGAACGACCGAATAGCACTCATATTCATATTAAGGTGCTCTATTGAGGTTGTTGTAGTCAGCAGGCTGATATTCACCTTATTTGTCATGTGATCAGTGATATAGTTACCGAGAATGTAGCGAGCGAAACATGCTTGCAGTGCTAATGAAAAACACTCGGGACAATGGGTAACCAGGGAGATAAGGGACAAAGCAATTGATGATAAACTTCAAAAGAAAAAAAGCCGTGAACTCATATGCATAATGAAAATTTCATCCAAAAAAACGGGGGGTCCAAAATGAAGGGTAAATATCTGCTTAATTTGTGCTGGCTACGAGGAGGGGAAGCGGTAATGGAGATCACAAACAGGGACGTGAAAAGAGCGGGAAACTGGAGGAAAGGAAGGGGAGGAAACGGGTAGGAAAAGCATCTATCATCGCTCTCGTGTATAAATTTCATCTTCATGTGCACATAATCGTAATAAGTTGTAGTGGGAACGGTTCGTTCCACCATCCCCTCCACTTGCGCTCTTAGCTGAAAACCGCTTCAAGTGCTCCAACATCCCCGCCAGCTCTCAGAACTGCTAGTAAAGCTGCCTCGCTGAGCTTTCTTCTTTTATCGCGCGCCTCTTGTTCTCTCCTAGCTTTGGTCTTCGAACTTCCGCTGGGCGCCACTCCAGTTAAAAGTTTCTGACTATCCTCGGGGGTGTAGTTCACAAAAGAGACAATCATTGGAGGTTTCGCAGCTGGGTGGTAGGTGTTGGTTGGGGTGATATGTGCCCCTTTAATGCCCCTTAAAGAATTCGTGGAGAGACTGGAAACTTTGCGGATGTGACCCCTTCGCTGACGTTGGGTGTGCGGATATATTTGCGGCTCCGACCTCGACAACCCGTGGATTAAGTTGGTGGATGAGGATCGGAGTGTCAGGCTTGCTGACATCATGTTGGCTGGAGACAGCGACAGGCTGTGGGATATCGGCACGTATTGTCTTTGGTTTAGGTCCTCAAATGGTGATGTTCGCGAAATGGGAATTGGTGCGGGTGCAAGTGGTGTACATGATGACCGACCCATAAGTTCTGGGCAGGATAATGCGGAGGAGGAAAGCGGTGGTTCCCCCGAAGATCCCATCTCGGGGGATTGTTTTAAATGCATCATCATGTTGTTACTTTCTAATATGTGGCTCTGGTGGGCTTGAGGCTTTTGCGGTGTTGGGGCTATGACCATGGGTTGGTAAGTACTGGTAACTTCCGATGTTGGCCACCAAGCTTGGGTAACAGGGCCAGGAAGGTCTACCGTGGGGTAGCTCAAGGCGGGCGAATCAATGGGTTCAGTATTCCAAGAGGACATGGACGTCGGGTCTGATTGTTGTGAGCGCAGAATGTGATGGTTGGGTGGGGAGTGGCTCGGACTTGTTGAGATTACTGACGTCCGGTGATCAAGGCAAACGTTCCTCATCCTTTGACCTGTACAATGTGTTGACATAGACATAGACTGTGAGTGGTTTATCATAGCAGGATGTTCATATGTAGATTCCCAGTCGACGTGGCTATCCTGCACACCAACGTTCTGCTCAGCTAATTGTGGCATGTTTTCGTGTTGGCCAAGCCTCAGTGGTGATGAGGATGAGAGAGGGACGTGATAATCTGAAGCTTGGATGTTAAAGATCTGAGGATGGTTTGGCCACTGGCAATGGTAACCCATCGCAACGCTTCCTTGTCCTGAGAAGGGCATCGAATCCAGATGGGAGTCCTGTTTCTGCATGGATCCTCTGAGACTATTCAACCCATAATTGAGAACTCCGCACGGTGATGACGATTCGTTCTTGTATGTGCTCCGGGGAGGCGAAGATGCAGCAGATGTATATAGACCGGGTTCCTTGTTATGCTGAAACACACCCGTCACATCAGGGTTAGGATTCCTGTATTCCACATACCCATGGCTGGGGACGAAATTATGTCTATCATCCATTGCCAAAGCTTGATCTGGATGAAACGATAACAGATCATTGCGCAGATGACGAGTCTGCAACTCGCCACCTGTTTTACAAGGAGTTCCTGCATCAAAGAGATTGCTGACACCACATGAAAAGGGAACTTCCAGTGCATCTTTGTCGGCAACATCATGCGGAGTGTGCATAGTAGTTTGAGGAGTAAATATACCATGGAATGGATGATCCATTTGCTGGAAAGGATTGGTGGGGGCTTTGTCGACCGTTTTTATCAGATTTTCCACCTTATTGACACGAAAATTAGCTATGGGGACGAGGCAGAGAAGGCACCTTTATATAAATTTTTTTCCCTAAAGAAAGGGAGACAAACTATGTGCTCAGAAGTAAGGGCAGACAATGTATTTACCTTGCAAGTGCTACCTGATCCCTGTGTCAGAGGATCTAACGGATGGTTAAGAAACTTGGAGAGGTGAATAACAACTAGAGGACGATGATGATAAAACAAAGCAAAATACCAAATTGAGGATGAATGTTCGGGGACCTGGAGGTCTCCAGATAAAACTTTCAACGGATTCCCGTTAATTAGGAGGATCGATTGAACTCACTGTTCGAGGGGGAGTTCGATGTTCTCATGTTTTTATATAAAACAAATAAGAAGAAAAAGGGGAAGAAGCGGGAGGGTGTGTGGGTTTTATAACTCGAACTGAAAGCCCAAAACTTGACTGAAATGATTTATCATCAAGATATTTGATGATCAGACATCCATCGTCGCAGTGGCACGGTGGACTCGGCATTTCTTAGCCTTGAGAGATTATTTTTGAGCATGCCATAAAGCCCATGCAGTAGCATCGAGACACCAAAGGAAGGTCAAATAAAAACCGTTAGGGTTTGAATCATCGAAAACAAAGGAAAAAAATGAGTCTATGAGGACTAAAGTGAAAAATAAAATGAAAATTGAGAAAACAAAGCCCCCAAGAAACCTTAACCCAGATCTCCTGATCTCATGGGTAATGCCTGTTAAAAACGCACGGGAAGGAGGACATGCCTCTGGTCGAAAGGGGGCTGTTACGGTCGCACAGGATGGGGTCCAAGTAAGAATAATACAATCCCTGTGCAGACTCAAGATGCCCAAACAGGATTCCAGAATTAACATAATTTTGGGGTCAGCCGAGATATAATCCAACGGCTACTGGTTTTAGATACCTCAGATAGTCAGACGGAACCCGTAATGCGAAAGTAATTTGAATCAATATGAGGTAATTGTTGATATGAACTAATTTTCTGGGAAAGACGGACGGGGGTGTAGATAAACTTCAAGGAAAATTGTCTGCTCATCGATATGATTTGTGGAGGGAAGTATCATGATGCATAATAAAACGCCAGATGACCCAAACAGTCTCCACAGAGCAGACAGAAAACACGGGTCGAATCCAAGCCAGTGGTGACTGGCCAATCGTACCTATGCGGGAGTCAATTCTGGAGCGATTTCGCCCTTTCGTAAGACTGTTTGAGTCCGGCATGGCTGCTGCATGGCAGTGTTGTTTTTTTTTTTTCTTTTCACAGATATTAGAAATTAAGTATGAAGTCGGTTGCAAAGGGCCGCTGTGCACGTCGCCCATGCGGCGTAAGAGCTGCAATGGGGAATGAAGCACGTTTTGTGCAATCCATGACTGCATGCCCACGGATGATGGATGAAGGACGCAGTGTTCACATTTCACGGTCCAAGGCAACTCCACGTTTTTGACACAAGCGCCTTTCATTCATTTATGGGGCAATAAGATGATATCCAGCTCCCCAACAATCAACAAAGACAGTCGAAATTCGCTGCTACGTCGATCCTTGTCTCAATGACTAGGACATGAACGAGGCGTAGATGATCTCTTCCAGGGTCAAAATAAAAAATTCGGCATGGTAGTACTTTGATTCTGTATGCCCTTGGCAATTCCGATGAATAGACTATTCAAACTCAAAAACACAAGCCATCCTGATCATATTCAAGGGCTGTAGGGACGTCGTTGGGATTGACGGTGGGAAAAAGAGTGGGTACATCAGCGCACCATCAAGAACGAGGAGCCAACCACACAGTGGAAAGGAGAAGGAGAATATGTCCTCATCAGCCAACAATGGTACCACGCAGTCGGTAGAGAAAAAAAGCTAGATAATGATGTCAGCTGGATACCCGGCAATAATAGTTAGCATAGAGTCAAAGGATGTGGGTAGGAACTGGAATTATAGGCAAAATAATAGCGTTTTTGTATGCGGCCTTTGTGAGGCGTTGATACTTTCGAGGTATGATGTTAGTCTTTGTTGTCGGTGATTATATAACCAGCTCCTCTGCCCTTCCAGGGCTAGTTAACCAACTAGTGAGCGGCTTAGCATGGAACTTAAACTTGAAGGCCCCCGCCCGCCGCGCCGCTCCCCCCCCCCACCGCCCCGCCAGCTGCTGACTTACGCGGGAGATGCGCAACGTCGTTGTCCTTCCCAACGCTCCCAACATACATGATCTCCGAATATCAGCCCCCGATTTGGGGTTGCTTCCTGCTCGTTTTCCTCTCCTGATTCTTGTGCAATTGGACATGTACACTTACACTCCACTTTCGATTATGTTCTGGCTGCGAAATATGTAACAGTACAGGAGTTCAAGCCAAAGCTCTTCCAGTGAATCGTACATGCGCGGAAAATTCGTTGGCTGTTGCTGCAAGACTATCAGTGGAGAGAGAGATGCAGTGCCGGCAGAGCTAGCCATTTTGGATCCAACGTCGTTTGATGCAACCTGGGTAATATTGTTTTTCTTATTCCCTGTACATAGCTGTGTAGTTAGTATTCTTTGTACGTCCTGTTCAACGCTAGATAAAAGGTCTTTGGACGTTTCGTATAGGGCTAGTATGCTGCAATAATAATCCAAATTCCCCCTCAATATGAAATTTCAACTTGCGTATATTGAATTGGAGTCAATATATGCTGTGAACCTACCTGGAAGTTCCAATTTTACAACACAAAGAAGGTAGTTTGGAGGTAGTAAAGATGTTGCTCCCCATTCACTGGCAAGGTGACAATGAAGGAACCCGTAACATTTCCAGCCAATAAAAGACTTTCTCGGAATATATATCTCTCTTTTGCCGTAAGTTACAGTGTAAAGTCAATAATCAGTGTTAGTGAGCGATATCCCAAATAAAAAAAGTCCAACCGGGGATCGATCGGAAAAAGGCAACACTTCTCAAATGCTATGTAGTTAGTTACTTATCCTAAGATGTTCGACCAGAGGAACCTTAAGCGTCTCAGGCCAACACCACCCCACGAAGACGCAAAAGGTACCCAGGCTGGCCTTCTGCCTTCTGGGAATTTGGGGATAGGTATAATATACCTGGGTATCAGGATTAATTCCACTGAACTCGATGAAATATCCCGGTTTCACATTGTACCAACCATGGTCCTTTCGCGCCTCAAACAATAGCAAGCAAAACTAAAAGAGAGGGTCAAAAAAAAAAAAAAAAAAAAAAGGGAAAACAAAAACTCAGGGATAGAAGAAAATCAAACACCGGCAAGGACGTAGAATGATTGGCAGCTGTGAGATCAGACAAAAAAAAAATCTCATCTTGGTAATAATGTCGACCACATTTAACGTAGTTACCCGAATCTTACCCTGCTAAGCTAAGGGCCAAGGAAACTTCGCTGGAAATTTGCACATCACGTATTAAAAATGGTACTGTCGCAGTATGGGTGTTTGGGCTCCAAAATCTTGATTGGCGCCTAAAACTAAGACAACATCATGCATCTGGCACAGAGATCAACAAGCCAACTTCAATGTCAACGTTAAATTCTCGCCAAATAAATCTCCTCTCCTCTTAACAAAGACTTCGCTGCACCTTTGTACATCTATCGACTGCCCCATATACCCCACTCTACTATATATCAGTTGGCGAACACATAGTAGGGTCCGAGGATTCCTAGCTTCATTCCTCGAACCTAGCACTTCACAACGTAACCGGGATCTCGAGAGAGAGAGCGTGAGAACTTCTCGTCTGTCTTCCTATTCGAACATCCCCAAAAATACCAAACCATAAAACCGCTCTGTGTTTCAAAAGAAATCTTAGTGGATGTCGGCTGCTTCTTGGATCGAGAAACCAACCAAACGGGACAGCCCTATCGCACCCCTATTCCAAGGAGAGACCTAGAGCTTAGCATCAAGGTCACCGCGATAGCGAACGCAAAATTATTGTGGCTGGCTGAAGAAAGGGAATGTTTAGTACTCCTTGGAGAGACAGAGTCCAAATTTCTCCTTTAGGATACTCTCCCGTTGAAGCCATTCAAAATCTCAACAACCCCAGTTCCGCTCAATTACCGCAACATTTCCAGATTTAAACCAGTAGAAGAGATACCCACGAAGAATACCTTTAATTATGTACTGCAAGTCCGTCTTGTCTGGTGTGGATGTCCTGCTGGGGATGTAACTATATCCTCCAGTTCAGATGTCTCCTCACCTCACCACTCTGGGGGAAGCCCCCACCGTCTGCCTTATTCACCTTCTCTAACATCTGCGGTCCACTTCACCTATCCCCAGCCGCTTGATTTTAAAGTGTTATTCCTAGCCTGTTTGTATATTTGTCGTTAACCACTTCTTGTCAGCCTTTTTTATTTTGTATGTCATTATATTTCATATATGTCATCCTTCCTTTCGTTTCTGTCTTTGTTGATTGCATCAACAACACAAAGTCGCGATTCAGCCGCTTTATTTTGCAGTTGGAAATCAAGCCGCCCCTTTCCGGCCACACACTCCTTGCTCGACCCCGGAAGTTATCAAGTTGTATTAGATTTCTCCTGTTGGTTTCATCACACATACTTGACGCGTTTTCAAAGCAAACAGACTTCAACAACGGAAACGGTAGCTCCCGGGAATGACTTCCTCAACTACCACTCAGACCGCTCTCGAAAACGAGCTTTTGTCGACAGATGCGATGGCCTCTCCTAAGGCTGATGCAGTGAAACAACAACCCGGAGCCGACGGAGATACCCTCCGACTTGATACTACCAATGTTAAGTTGGCGCTTCCAATTGGGCGCACCCGTGGAGCTCACTTTCACAACGAGTCCTCAGGCCTTGAGCCTTTGTCAATCTCCGAAACCCCTGTCGCATCCTCTCCTGCATCAGAAGGCATAGACATTTATTCACCATTGTCATCATCATCGTC